AGTTCGCTGATAGGAGGAAAGGCAGTTTTAAATCCCAGACCTCTGTTCTTTGTATACAGTGACGCGTCAGAGCTCCAGTTACTTATACCCTCTCATTTCCTGGTTGGTGGGAGACTAATTTCTCTTCTGCCATCTCAGGTGACCAGCAAAAGCCAGGAGGACATGGGTCCAAGATGGGGGTGGAACTGCTGGTGGAAAAACTTCTTGATGGATGTAAAATCTAGTCACAAGTATGAAACTCCTACGCCTACTCTGGTGAATATAGGAGATGTTGTCCTAATTGGACAAGATAACCTACCCAGGCAAACTTGTAAAAAGGGCAGGATAATGGAGTTGTTTCTAGGGAAAGATGGGTGCATTTATTGATTTAATGTTCACATTTCTACAGAAAGTGTGCCGTCCCTTGGGCTGTATCGCTGGATTAAAAACATTCTGCCAAGGTTGACAGAATGTTTTTAATCCAACAAAACTGCCCAAGGGACTGCCAGCCATCACAGCTTTGCTCAAGTTAATCAAACAAAGGAAGTTAAATGATAACTGGGGATCGACTGGTCTGGAGCAAATATACAGCGTATGGGCAATATTAAAACATCGTCAGTGCCACAAGTTAACACTTTCAGTATGTGACTGTTATCTATGATAGTGCATGGTACAAGTGCATGGAACGACTCAGCAATGTTAGTTCCAAGAGTAATCTAAGATACACAACATAAAATCCAAGCCAAGGGAGCAATAGAACTGCAGAGATAGCAAGGAAATTAACAAAGAAGCTGCTATAAGGAAGAGCAAAGTAAGATGAACTACTCGAGGCTGACTTTGATTAAATGCAGATCATTAGGCTGAGGCTTCTTATTTGAGCCATGTTTGATGAGAAAGTTGTGCAGAAACACTAGGAAAAGCTCCCAGTTTGGGCAGCTAGTCTGTCCGGGAACCTCCTCAACCTCAGTGGTTGAAGGAGTCACCAATTCACTTGCCATGTGGGACCTTAGCGATTGTCAGGGCTCTGTGATTCAAGTTTAATGACGTGTATGATTTGCTGGCGTTTTGGCTTAGTGGTTGTGTAAATAAACCAGAGAGATAGCATGATTATAGCTGTGTTTGAAAGCAGAACTTGCATTTTCCTGGGCAAATACAACAGCTGTCTGTACATGATAAGAACTGGAAGTGAGCCACTCTTTGCTGGAAATATTTTTCTGGCTATGTGAGGCTTGAGTCCAGGCTAGATAAAAGAGCCAGCCCCCAAAGCTTTAGATCCTCGGCTTATGCCCTGCTGGTCTCAAGAGAGCAGTAGTTACTGCAGTCATTATTTAAGTCCTTATAAACACTAAAGACCTAGAAATGTCCTTCAGGTGCTCCAAAACCTATAAAGTCAAATCATATTCACCCTCGTGTATGTCAAAAAGAAACAACACAGACATACTTTGAAAGTCTTTACCTCTGTAGCATTTTCCATCAAGACCTCAAGCTGGTTTTACTGATTTGTGGAGCGAGCCCAGGCTGCTCTTAGCATGACATGCCAATTACACGGCTGTAACCTTTTGGTATGTGAACACCATCAAACCTGCAGGAGCTGCTTTGGGGCTCTTTAGGGTCAAGTCTTAACGCACATGTATATGTCTAAATACATTTGACATTGTTGTTTTGTAGTTTTCTCTTTTGTTCTATCGGGACTGATTCAAAAGGCAGAAGGAGAAGAGTAATCTTTATTTAAATAGAATTAAAAGAGATTGAAGATAATTTAGAGTATTAGATCCAAGTTCTCAGTTAGTTTTTAACAATATATATATATATATATATATATATATATATATATATATATATGAAAGAAATACCACTGTACTTTGGGGAAATACCACATATCAATCAATATATTCCTATATTTTCTCAATACAATGGCAGTAGGAAACATGGTTTTAATCAAACTTCAATAGCACTGTCAATATGCTATTTAAGAGCATAATGACAGTGCTATTATTATTGTTATTATTTTTTTTGACCTTCAGATTAATTTGTGACAATATATTTTATTTATTAGGCAGCAAAATGAATTCACATTTTATACCCAAATTTAAACTGGTACACTGGACTTCTCTGAGATGTCAGAAAGTATAACACTCAACCACAAATTTTTCTGTTTATTAATGCAAGTAACTGTATTTTGGCATCTAAGCAGTAAATCTGAAAAGTCACAGATAACAAAAATTACAAGGACTGTTTAAGGCAGTGGTTGCATAAATCATACCTTATGCAGTCAGCTGAACACTGAATGTAGCTGGGTTACAGTTACAGTGCTTCACCTGCCTAGACCACCAATTGACAAGAAAGTCGACCCATTGCCATATTATACAATAAGGTCTGGTATGGTCTCGTTTTAAATCCACCTCAAAGACTTGCAATGCCTAGAAACATCAGATTCAGATATGGGCCTTACTATTATCCTGTAAAGTTTGAAATTTCAAAAGTCATGGGAACCAGCTTTGGATATGAGTCAAAAATATTTTCTATGTTATAAAGATTGCATTTGCAGTCCCCAGTAGTTTTGGAAAAGGGCCAAAAACACATTTTGAATTAGCAAAGCACAGTGTAAGGCCAAAAGCATAATTCTGCCAGCTGCAGCTGGCACTGAAACACTGGTGATGAGGTAGGTTAGGATTTACCAGGAACAAGTTAGCAGAGATGGTGAGAAATAATCATACAAATATTCTCCACTTAAGCAAAATCCTTAGCATCTGAAGAGTATTTACTTCAGCTGTTGGCTCCATGAAACTGTATAACAGCTATAATCCCATCAATTCATCACACATGTGCTCAGCCTAGAAAGCTCTGTGCTTATGATCAAATGGCTGAAAGGTTACACCCATATGCAATGCAATATGCACAACTTTTTGTTTAATGATAAAATGAAAAGATCAGACAAATTTGAAAAGCAGTTCTACATAATACACAGAATGCTGTGTCGCAAGTTAAATGGTGTTAGATACAAAGTCAGTTTTTCATTGTACATCTGATTTAACATTTCTCTTTAGAACCACACCAGTTTTGCATGTAGGTCATGTAATAGTTTGTGTTCCAGTTGTGCTATAGCCAGCCAGAAGTACATTTTTATACGAAAAGGTCTGGTATTTTATGCTTGCAGGGAAGTACCATTTTTTCGTCCAACCATATCCCAGAAATCCCTTCATCCCAATCAATTTGCTACAAATATTCACTTGGACTGGTAGAGTAGTGCAGTGGTTTGTACTGTCACCTCTTCAAATCCACTTCCAGTTCCGTCACAATTAATATGATTGTGAGTTCCGTCACAATCATATTAAAGACATGTTATGGTTAGTTGCATGTTGCTTGTTAAGGTTAATTGTGACGCTACGGCCAAATGAACAGAATCGCTTTTGGAGATTTACTTACCTGGATGATTGAGCATGCATCAAGACATCTACAGTAGTGAAAGCCTAGCGATCTGAACAGACTATAATAGTGAACAGTGTACGCACTATGACAGAGACTATGCTATGCCAGTGTCCTAAAACTATAGCAGTAACCAGTGTGAGCATACGGTGAATGATTAGAATAAATGACAGTCATGATTGTGGTCATTGGGAGGGATAGGGGGGAGGAGCAGTGTAGACGGGTTAAGTTGAGTGTGAATGGAAAGGTTCAGTGGGGGACTGAGTTCAGTAGGGTGACAGCAGTTGGGAAGAAGCTGTTCCTAATCCTGCTGGTTTTAGTCTGTGAGGTCCTGTAGCGCCTTCTAGAGGGGAGGAGCTGGAAGACTTCATTGGCAGGATGAGAGGAATCCCTGAGAATGATGCGTGCTCGGCATAGACATCTCTTCTTGTAGACATCCTCAATGGCAGGAAAGTGGAGTCACTGTGATGTGTTAGGCAGTTTTCACCACCTGCCGGAGTGCTTTGTGGTCAGCGACAGAGCAATTACCATACCAGACTGTGACATGCTCTCAATGCTCTCTATCGCACAGCGGTAGACATTACCCAGTATGTCAGTTGTTCTTCTTCAATGTCCTCAAGAAGAAGAGGCACCGATGGGTCTTCTTGACCAGGCTGGAGGTGTTAGTTGACCAGGACAGATTCTTAGAGATCTGGGGGTTCTGAAGAACTTGAAGCTGGGAACCTATTCAACAGCTCTGCTATTTATGTACCTGAGAAGAGAAGTACAAACTTACTGAAACTACATAGCAATAATAAGTGATTACTATTTAAGCCATTGTCTGCTGAGTGTACATTATTGAAGTATACTGGAATGAAGCAATTATGAAGCAAACTGCTTTCATTTAAGGTGGAGTGTAGCATACTAAGGGAATTCAGATATAATAATTTATAGGACATATTACAATAACACTTTGTGTTTTCACTTATTTTTTAAGTGTATAAAGAAAGTGTTTATGTCACTTTGGAAACTTATGTCAAGCCTCCTCTGTTGTGATGTTTTCAATTGTTGAGTAACTGATTGTGTGGAGGCATATGACTGGGACATTCTTGGAAGTTCTGCACGTGGAAAATCTGTGTTTTGAGTTAGAACTCATAAACGATTCTATAAAACTCCTGCAGGTCCAAGTTTTTGAAAAGTAGCATTAAAAGTCAAATAAATCACCCATCTAAAAAAAATGAATTCCCTTGCACACCAAAATTAGGAGTTTATATTTGCATTTAGTATAGTATCTGTTCTTCATTTATCAGATGAAGTACAGGGTGACCTGCTGCCAAGTTGGCTGCAGGTCACCCTTTGCTACAAATCATAGTTTACTGTCTGGTCTTTGGTCTGTTATTTTTGCCTCCCATTACCCATCAACTTCTTTTCACTGGACTTCTCAACATTACCCTGCCCTTGCAGGCCTATAAGCCCTCTTCTGCTTTGGATAATAACATATTGGTGTAAAATTTTCAGTACAGAGATCCTCTCTGTGAAAAGTCACCCTATTGGGGTGTGTAGGGCTACTGTGGTTAATATATGACAATTTATCTCTTTTTTCTTTTTTCCTTTAGATATCAGATCCACACAGGCCTTCAGCATTCTGTCATCCGAGCTGCTCAGCCCAACTGCCTACCCCTGGAAAATATCACTCTGCCCCAGAAGCTAAAGAACGCAGGCTACTCCACCCACATGGTAGGGAAGTGGCACCTGGGCTTCTACAAACGTGGATGCCTTCCTACCCAGCGTGGCTTTGACACGTTCTTTGGCTCCCTGCTAGGAAGTGGGGACTACTACAGTCATTACAAATGCCAAGGCCCTAGCATGTGTGGCTATGATCTGTATGAAGGGGAAGAAGCAGCTTGGGAACAGGACCGCGGCTTGTACTCTACTGTGATGTTTACACAAAAGGCTGTCAGTATTTTAGCAAATCACAACCCTCGTAAGCAACCTTTGTTTCTGTACTTGGCTTACCAGGCGGTTCATTCCCCACTGCAAGTTCCTGCTCGCTACCTCGAGCGATACAAGGGCATCCCAAACCCGTACCGTCGTAAATATGCTGCCATGGTTTCCTGCCTGGATGAAGCCATTCATAACCTCACATTAGCACTAAAACACTATGGTTATTATGACAACACAGTTATAGTGTACTCTTCTGACAATGGGGGCCAGCCTTTAGCAGGAGGAAGTAACTGGCCCTTGAGGGGTAGTAAGGCCACATACTGGGAAGGGGGGATCAAGGCAGTGGGCTTTGTTCACAGTCCCTTGTTAATGAACAAAGGAACAAAATGTCGATCTTTGATCCATATTACTGACTGGTTCCCTACACTGGTAACCCTAGGTGAGGGAACTTTAGATGAAGATCTGAATCTGGATGGGTATGACGTCTGGGAAACTATTAGTGAAGGCCGCCCATCACCTCGTCATGACATTCTCCATAATATTGACCCAATTTACATCAAAGCCAAAAATGGATCGTGGAAGGCTGGGTACGGCCTATGGAACACAGCTATTCAGGCTGCACTCCGAGTTGGCCACTGGAAGCTACTAACAGGTGTGCCTGGTTACAGTGACTGGGTGCCCCCACAAACTTTTTTGAATCAGCGGCTAACCACTCGCTTGCATAATGAACGTGTCCGCTGGGACCGAGGTAAGTCCATCTGGCTGTTCAACATTACAGCGGACCCCTATGAGAGAGTGGACTTGTCTCAGCGCTACCCGCATATAGTAAAGAAGATGCTAATGCGGCTAGCTCAGTACAACAAGACTGCTGTGCCGGTGTGCTACCCAACTAAAGACCTGCGTTCTAATCCTCAGTACAACGGTGGGGTGTGGGGACCCTGGCACAAAGACATGAGGGAGCAGCAGGAAGAGGATGAGATGTATAATAACTTGTTCACCAACCATCTCAGTAAAAAAAGATGGGAAAAAAAATCAAAGAACACAAAGTTGAGAAGAGAGTAGAAGAGTAGCACATTACATACCACGTTTGTGAATGCCTTAAGTTATATTTACTCAGGGATTAATGCTTACTCTTACAGGATTGTGCTGTCAGACATTCTAATTCCAGGTAGTTTTAACTTGACTCCAGAAAATACTGTATGAACAAAATGCAGATGGACATTTTCAGAGTTCCTCGAGAGAACAATTAAAAGATCAGTTGTTCAAACACTACTGCTATGCCCAGACAAAACTAAGACCTCATGTAAGTGACAAGGGCATTTAAAGAATGTTTATTTTTCTAGATTCTGTTGCATGCTTGACCTGTTGTCAGATTTTTCTTATAGATTGACGTTTCACTTAGAGTAGAAAACAAATTTCACTAGACAGTTGCCATATATGTTTGGTGACAGACAAATAAAATAAAACATAGTTCTATTGTGTTGTTGATTGTAGCACTAAGGTACTGTGGAAACAGATGTGCAAGTAGATGTGTGTTGTTTTTTATAAGCATAGCCAGTGTGAACTTTAAGATAATAGCATTTGTTCCCTTATTCTTAGATGATATCTGGTTGAGCACAAACCAAACTGAATGTGAGACAAATAAACAAAATAAAAGCCCTAGACACAACATTTCAAGTTCTGTTTTACTTGCATTTTACTATATCCTGATTTTGTTTATTCTGCTAACAACTACGTTTGTAATTTGAAAACCTTGTGTATGTTTTTCATGTTTAGAAACTGAAAGGCAGCTTCTGGGTATAGTTATTTATAGAAAATACAGTAATTTTGGCTTTTACAGGTGAGTAAAAAGTGAATTGCTTTTGTGGAGTCCTTAAAAAATCTCTCCCTCATCACTTAGAGTGTACTGTACAAGAAGTTGGGATCGAAGAAAAACGAAGAATGCAGCTATTTATATGAAGTGAACACACATACATACAACCTTTACAGCAATATTTTCTTATACATCTGTTGCTTGGCACCCATGGAAACAGTTGGAAGTCTTACGACTGACTTGAGCTGATTGCAAGCTTTGCCAGTATATGATTGATCAAACTTTTATGAGCCACTTAACTATTTTAATAACAAAAAATGGCCTCGAAGTACACCACTTCCTAGAAGATCCTCTGTTAACCAGATGCATGGATCTGGTACAATCTGAGGGATCAAAATAGGGCTTCCCCCAAGAAAGGCTGCCAGGTTGCTTTGCACATCCCCCTCTCTCTGCAAGCGCCAACTTGTGACCTCAGACTAACTCAATTTTTACAGCAGCATTTGTGTACACAGCTTATGCTGATATGAGCATGGTTCTTTTGATTCTTAATCCCCATAAATGTGAAGAAGGTGAGGTCAGTTTCAGTTTATGATACTGGCTCATTCACAGTCATTTATGTCTACAGGCAGATTGTACCCATGGGAACAGAATTTACCTGGCTAAGCTCAAATTTATTTCTCACCATAAAACGCAGGTGATGGCATCTCGAGTATCTCGAGCTACAGCTGAGAGTATAGAAAATCAGATTCTTATTTTCTCTGCAAAATTTCCCCTCCTGTGGGCCATGGGAACACTTAAACCCTGGATTCTCTTGGAATTCACATTTGCTTTCACTTATGGGCATTAGCATCCCGCTTATGGGAAAAAGAGCTGTAACTAAGCTATAAGGCAACACATCAAGCTGCTATCTCACTTTAAAAATGCCCATCAGTGCTCATTGGGAATGATAGGAGAAAATAAACCTTATGGATGGCAAAACCACAAGGCTTTGATCTGGCTGGAGTGTGGCAGGCAATTTTGCCTTATTGTGATGGTTTCCTTTCAGTCATGGCACTGTGTGAAACACATGGTTTAGGTTCTCGTATGCTTGATTGAGGTTCAAATTAGCTGAATTATGTGTAGCCAACTGGAGCTAGCTGACCACACGGCTGCCAAGAGCTACATGTGAAATACTATGATGCAGCCAGGCTTACATTCCCAAAGACATGAAATGAATGAATGTAATGAAAAAGAAGACAGATATCAAGCAGCTGTTAACCAAAAGAATCAGGATTAACACAAAATTTATGAACAATCTTGTTACCACTGCCCCATGTTTTCACTTAGACACCCAAATAACTCTGGAAAAAAAAGAGTAGCTAAAGAATGTGGTTTTAGAGGTTGCTAAAAATAAAGCAAAGAGTTACTGTGCTTGTCTTACATGAGGATAAACCAGTAATATCATCTGGAGGCTAAATGAAGTAATTTGTGTACACAGGTTTTATTCTAACTGCTTTTTTTGCCAGGTGATCATTTTACAGCTGTTATTTTGTTCAGCCTCCTTGTGGAAGACATTCTTCAGTCCAGCTATTTATTATTTATGATTCATTTATTTTGATAGTCCACCACCAAACTATGCCATATAAAGCTGTTTTATTATTTAGTTGGCTCTGCTTTGTTCATCAGGGCCTTGTTTTCAAACGTTTCAGAAAAAACTATAACATTAAAGGAATCTACATGGAAATGGGTTGCCATCTTTATTTTATTTGGAGTGTGGTCTTATGTTCAGGTTCAAGGTTTCAAGGTTCTTTATTTGTCACATGCATAGTTATACAAGTATAACACACAGTGAAATGTAGCGACACACAGTGAAATGTAGTGAAATGAAATGTAAATTAAATATGAGCCACGCACACCCACACCCATGCAGAATACTTGCCATTAATTACAGCTGAGCTCACCTGTGCATACCTGTTTGAAAATATTCCTGTTCTTGTTGCCACAAAGACTTTCTTTAGAGTTTAAGTCTGAGTTCGCCAGAATTAATCTGAACAAATTTTAGCTATAGGATCACATGAGGTCTGAACATGGTTACTCCAAATAGAAAAGGGATTCTGAAATCAGACTGGATTACATTCTACAGTCTGGGTTTTGCTTCTAATTAAAGCTTCATGATGTGTTGTTCACTGTGAATTGCATTTGGTTTTTATCTCCATTTTACTGTGCCCCAGCTTTTTTGGAAAAGGAGTTGTAATCAGTGCATCTCCAGCTGATTTCAACATTATGACAGACTGATCATAATATTAAATATTATCAGAGATGAATCAGTTTCTTTTTCATGGCAATCCATCTGTAATGAGTTCAGTGCAATGAACAAATTTTTACAGGGTAATTCACCAACTTTAGGTAAGGATTGTTAACTTTATGTGACCGTGTTAGCGGCCCTACTTCAGTTACTGTTATGTGATGTTAAAGGGTTTTCATTTCATATTTTATGTTATACAAGTTTTGTGGACGAATATAAAAAAAAAATCTAAAAAAGACTGTTGCAGAAACCTGAAGAGAGAGGTTTAAGACTGCTGAAGGACCTGCAAATAAGGACACTGAGCAGTTGAGTGAATTGCTGACAGGAATAATAGAGAACCAACAACCTTTGGCGAACATATCCTATAATGGCCATCTAGACAGTTAATAATAATATTAATAATGGATTGGATTTATATAGCGCTTTTCAAGGCACCCAAAGCGCTTTACACTACCACTATTCATTCACTCTCACATTCATACACTGGTGGAGGCAAGCTACAGTTGTAGCCACAGCTGCCCTGGGGCAGACTGACAGAAGCGAGGCTGCCATATCGCGCCATCGGCCCCTCTGGCCAACACCAGTAGGCAAGTAGGGTAAAGTGTCTTGCCCAGGGACACAACGACCAGGACAGAGAGCCAGTTCAGATGAGGGATCAAGCACACCTGATTTGAGTATATTAGTGCATTGATTTAGCTATTCTCTCATTTCAGATTATTGTTTTTCATCAACAGGTGTCTCGTTTAATGTGTTCATTTGATCATATGAACTGTTCTTGTGTGTAGGTGGAAGTGAAATGGACAGAACTGCAGAGTTGCAAGGCATAGCTTCCTCAGAAGCTATGATGTGTGCCAGCACTGCTCGAACAGAAGACTTACGATGAATGAAAAGCTGGCTATTGAATTTCATTAACACAAGTTGAAGTATCTAAAGGAGGAGCATGAAATGAAAAAGAAGATACTCCAAGTAGAATTAGAAATGAAAATGTGAGATGCATCAGTCTCAATATACCAGCAATGAATAAAAAAAATACAGAGTAGAATGCGGTAATTTGACCATGACATGTTCAAGTCCTTGTCTGTGGTTTGTTGGAATTGAAGGCATCTTCTCGGCATGAATCAAAGTATATTCCAAAGGCACTGAAAATGACTCTTTCAAACACCAAACATGCACTCTACTAGACCCCTTGTGCATATATAAGCTTGGATATAGCACCTTTGATTAGGAGTAAGTGGGTACAAGCATTGTGTAAACAAAAATTTCCTTCCTTGTACTAATTTATACCTTGACTGAGGAAGCAGATTTATGTTAGTCTCAATTAACGCTTCTAATTATTCACAAAATGAAGAAGTGTTTTTCTTTAGTCGAGAAAGTTTGCTTATAACCCATTGCAAGTGCATGTATACATGCGTTTCTCACCATTATAATGGCGAGAAACGCATTGACTCGGTGACATCAGTTGTTTTTGTTCAATTTAATAAAGATAAATACTATAGAATTCAGAAAGTTTAAAAAACTATTTTTATTTGAAATTCAAAAACGATTATTTGTTTAAAAAAAAATTAACTTGACACATACAATAGGTGGATGGACCTTGATGCGTCACGGCAGACAACACCGACAACCCAGGTTACAAAATACTTACGGGGATGATCCTCACCACAACATCACCTGGCTGCAATCCACTCTACCAAATTGGCAGACTCACTGCAATAGATACATTCAACTTCAACTGTTTTTTCCTCAAAGCTAATGTCACTGGTACTCTGAACTTGATTTGAAAGAAAGTCTGAAATAATATAAATTACTTTTGATTTAACTTTGAAATTTTTGATTGATTTTAATTTTTATTCATAGTAACCTGAGATTCAAACCCACATCTTTTCTTCATCACTATTCTAACATTCTGTGTTGCTATGCCTATGATGCTCTTCAACTCAAACGCTGACATCTTCATAATCCTGTCCTTGATATTGTCTTATAACTATATTTTTCTATCCATTTTCTTTTTAAGTAGACCCTACTACTAATACTTCTCAAAAGACTGGAGCTCAATGGACTAGCCAAAGACCTTACCCTAAGATATAAAACTCTGTATTCATACACTTTTTTAATGGGATTCTATTAACTTTTCCTGAAATAAAGCTTTGACAGCAGTGGTTATAAATATGTCATCTTGCTATGTCCTCTTCTGCTGCTAAGCCTAAATGACACCTGACTGCCATCAGCAGTTTATAATAATTACCTGATCCAATGGGAAATGTGTAAACATGAGAAACACTACATTGTATTTTCTTTTGTTGAACTTTGGCATGGTTACACATCTCAGGATGTGACAAAAGACCTCAGTGTTAACAGTCTACCACAATAGGAAAACAACCAACTTTCCTGTTTACTAAGCTCTGATCTTTAGGATTAGGATTCAACTTTATTGTCATTACACATGTATAAATACAGGGTAACGAAATACAATTTGCATCTAATCAGAAGTGCAAGAGAAGTAAGTGCAATAGGAGCAGATTATATACAGATAGGGGTAGTATAAAAGCCATCTACACTATATTTGGATTAGGCTGAAACAGAAGTAGATTTTGTCTCTGCATAAGTTTGAGGGCCATGGGAATTCGTGAAACAGATCTTACAAGCAGACAAAAGAGAGAAAAATCCTTTGTAATATTTCCACAAAATCTTTATTTTAGATTCATGAAAGTAAAAAAAAAAATGGAGAAAACATAAACCTTGATAGTTTTGTAAAAAATATTTTATGTAATTTTATGATAGGAAAACAAATTTAAATCAAGAAAAACCACCCATGTGTGTCCTGCAGGCCTCATCTACCCCTCCAGCATGTAAACAGTGTTGATAAAAAGCTGCTGTGTCATTAGCTTTTCTATCAACTCATGTGCCAGTATTTCTGAATTTAGACCTCAAACATTGCTCTTATGATAGAATAAATTAGAAAACCTAGAAGTATAGATGAGGTGACTCATAGTAAACTATTTTTCAACTTATTTTCAAGCTTTCAGGACACCTCAGGAATAGGGATGGGTATCGTTTAGGTTTTATCCAATACCAGTACCAAACTGATAGTTTTGAAACGGTGCCGGTGCTTAAACGTTGCTCAAACCGGTGCTTAAAGAATGAAGAACACAAACTTCTCATGTTCAGCTGTTTTTTTGTAAAAAGATAACAATGTTAGCCTTTTCTGCAGCTATAGGGGATTTATGGTATCACTCTTGGCTGGAAGCAGTGCTTAATCAATGGGGGGAAAAAAACACCAACTTTGTCCAAAAACCTTTCATGTTTAACTGTTTTCCACTTTTTCTTTGGTCATTTTAGCCTTTTTGGCCAGGGTGAAGGGAGTATCTGCCATCAAACAAGAAGACAGCCTCATGTAACTACGACGGTGTTTGCTAGTTCACCTTACATGCATTAATGTAATAACGTGGTTAGCCTACTCAACGTAAATTACACACGAACAACAATAAGCTACTCACGCAGAGAAGAATGGCTGCTGCTGCCATCATCATCCTCATCATTTCTGCTACACTGGCAGGGCTAGGGGCCAGGACTCTACTCTTCGGGTTCTTGGGGGATGTTGCTAACTCCGGGACCGATAACAGACACCACACCCGCAGTAGATGTGCACGGTGTGAGGTCTTGCAGCAAGTTATCAAATACGGTGCATTTCTCTGCTTTTAAAAAAACGCTATGCGTTGCCAGGTGTTTCATCAGATTCGAGGTGTTACCTCCTTTGCACAGTATCACCTTAAAGCACTTGTTGCAGGCTGCTGAGTTTGCATCTTTTGCTGTGAAGTACAGCCAGACTTTGACCGCTTCGCCTTGGGCGTTTTTAATCTGTAGCTCTGCTCTAAAAGAACATGCGTACCTGGGCTCACCTACTATCCTCGGAAACGTAAAATGATTGGCAAGAATCTAAAGTGTATGACATCTCAGGAAAAGAAAGCACCGAAATAAAGCACCGAAATGTGCGCTGCTTTTCGGTCTGGTTATTACCGTTTATGTGATACCGGTACCCATCCCTACTCAGGAATGACGAGATCTCTTTGGTGGATATAATAAATCATACCACGTGACACGAAACAAACTGTAAACAAAACATAAGTCAGTACAAAATGCATTTTTATAGATGGACATTAGCAAAAACAAAACAAAACCCTAAAAATTAACTGGGTAAATTTGACCATCCCCCAACAATTACACTTGTGTTAGTCTGCAAGGCCTATTTGCACAACCACTTGACCACTTAATCATTGTGGTTAAGTTAGTTTGCTCCTCTGTCTCTCCATTTTCAGTTTTGTGTTTTGTTCTCCTCTAACTTCTGTGAGATCTCTGTGGTTCAACAGCCAAAGTCTCTTTAGTGCAAATAGGCTGTCAGCTACTGCCACCTCAAAACAGAGAGGAGAGGCCAGAAGAAGATCATTTTCATGCTGGATGTGAAGCTGTGTTTAATTTGGTGCCTGGAACCGGTCTGAAAAGAGCAGAGAAAAACAAAGATTGTGGTATAACTGATGATCTTTAAATTAATTTTTATTAGTATTTAAATAAAAATAAAAACCTTTACTCCGTGCATTACTGTACTAACTGCCACTCTAAAATCGTGTACTGCTCAGTCTGCACTGCTGCTCAATCCTGCCACTTTATCCCATTTGTAATACCACCCCACCCACACCCAAATACATGTCAGCAGTCACATTTCTATTTAAGATTTCTTTATCTTCTACTTGATCCATTCTCAATCATCCAGGAAAGTAAATCTCCAAAAGTTGATTCTGTTCATCTGGACGTAGCGTTTTGTGGGAGAAACGTTTTGTCATCATCCAAGTGACTCCTTCAGTCTCAGCTGACTGCAGGTTTCCCCAAACCTTATAAACAGTACATTTGCATAATGACTGAAACCAGCTCACTGAAGGGACAATGGGCTGGGAGGTCAGTTCCTTAATCTTAATCATGCAGATTCTCATGACCATTGATCAACAGCCACTGACCAAAACCCACTGATCAATGGCCATGAGTACCATTTACAGAGAGTTGGGGAATGGCTGCCATCACAGCATGTAAGATGGTGACAGATGTACCCTTAGGCCCCCTCCTGGATTCAGAGATGGTCTTTCCCTTTTCATGTAAATGCCCTCCTTGACTCCGCCCTCAAACCAGCGTTCCTCCCTGTCCAGGATGTTACATACTCATCATTGAAAGAGTGTCCACTGGCCTGTAGGTGTAAATAGACTGCAGAGTCCTGGCCTGACGAGGTGGCTCTTCTGTGTTTTACCCAGAGGTTGTTTGGTTTCCCCGATGTATAAATCCTGGCAATCCTCCTGCACTTAACAAGTGTACGCAAGTATAAAACTAAGTGTATGCTGTTAAGCGGCCATTTACGTGAAAAGGGAAAGACCATCTCTGAATCGAGAGAGAGACTTTTTTTGACATTCAGTCTTTCCAATAAAATAAAACTGGATACAAATTAGAGACTGAGCCACTGATTGTAAGTTTGCTCACTTATAAGTGGCCTGTATATACAGAAATGAACAAATAATTATTTTCCCCACTGTACGTGACTCTGCAGAATCATTGTGTTAACCCACCTGATAGCTCTCAAAGGTGGGATGGCAGAGACTTTGCCCACAGGTTTCGGTCCTGCTGCTGAGGGCATCATGACCAGTAGGCCTGGAGGGGCTTTGGAGAGTGAGGTCGGGACTGGACTCACTTGGGGGGAGACTGCTCTGGTAGGGCTCAAGGGGAGAGGCCTCTGAGGAGGGAATTTGGGTGTGGGCTGCAGCTCAGACACCAACTAAAAGAAAGATATTAGCTTTATGTACATTACTGAACAGTGACATGCAAAATGTTTTTGGAGGTTGGTAGCTTATATCCACTTATAAATCAAAAAAATTACTGACTAAAGGTAAACATTATATAAAGTATATTTTTGTTCTTCTAATATGCTTTAATGCAGCACTATTAGCTCTTGCACTTAAAACAGCACTAAGATCTTCTCTCTCTCATATACATACATATGTATGACCATCGAGCTCCCAGGCCTCAGGTAGAGGACCCAAGCTTGAAGGACAGACCGCCCGCAGGAGCGAGAGGGGAATTTTTACTTTATGTGGGTTACAGTTGCTTCAATATAGTAAAACAGTAACAGACTAAACTATTTAACAATATAATACAATATGTTACAGCTTTACAAATTTAAGAAATAGCACAACATATACAAATCACTCAATAATAAGGAATCAAGAATTGACGGAGGTGATTATAAATAAATATTCAAGAATGTTTACAAGAATATTACTGAGCAGAAAAGAGCGTGTGCAATAAAGGGTGTAACGATGTAATGATTTCCTGTTTCGTTCAGTGGTGCTTTTTTGGAATCTCAGTGTCCCACTGAATGTCCTCCTGTGACTAGCCGGCGCGTCGTGGAGTGGGTGGGAGGTATTATCAGATTTCAAACATATTAAAGTCGCAAGCAACAACATGGATGCCCTCTGGGTGCTCTCTCTGCTAAACAATGGTAATTATTGCTACTGTTAGCTTCCGAGGTCGAGAAAAGGGCCTGTACTGAATAGACAAAGCGTTTAAGTCCAGTGAGCAGTAAGGGTCTACAATTTTACTGTTAATACACCAGTCATGAAGCACAGAGCCCACCGCTCCTTCCATTGCCGGAGTTTTTATTGAGATTGCAGATACATGCGGCAGAAATTAGCTCTCTCCAAAGGTTGATTAGACACTCCCTTAGAGAGAGGGTGAAGAATTCAGTCATTTGAGAAGGTTACAGAAAACAGCTGCTGCTCCTCCATATCAAAGGAGGCAATTGAGGTGATTTGGGCATCTGTCTAGGATACCTTCCCTTGTCTAGGTAATTTTGCATTTTTGCTTGTCTAAAGCTCCTGTCCTCTGTAGACTATTTTGAGTTTATATGCCCTGACTTTTTCCTTACACTCTATAAAGGGCCTTACCAGGGGAGATCGTGCTGGAGTAAGGGGTAGAGGTTTCTGTGGCGGGCTCAGTCTCTGAGGTGTTGATGGGGATTTGGGTGGTGCTACTGGATGCTTGCCAGTTGGAAGAGTCCGTGGACCACCCTTGGCAAATGAGGCAGGTCTCAGAGGTCGCACTATGTTGACTGGGTGGGTGCCATTTGGGCCTGGTCTAAGAGATGGGACCTCTTTGCTGGTGTGAGAAATCTACAATTACAAGAAATTCAGTTAAATCCCATATATATATATATATATATATAGCACCAAATCACAACAACAGTCACTTCAAGGCATTTATGTTAACAAATGTTAACAAACCTAACAGAAAAACAGCTTCAAATCATTTCACAGAGAGAAGAACTCATATGGGCATTCATTTCCTACTTTGGTCATGAAGAGAAAGAATGCATACTTTACCAATAGGAGAATCTTATTCATAAAACAACAGTGAGATAATAGACTTCACATTAATTCATGACATTTTTTGGTTCTTTGCTTTTTCTTTAGACCTACAGTTATAAATAAAACTATTAAGAGATTAACTAGGATCTGTGAAAACACTTTTATGCAAAATAAGTCAACACAGAGACGTTTTTGCTTGTTTGATGATGATAAGTGATCGATGTAAATTCCATTTCAAAGCCAGCAGAGGTTAGAGAATGAGCTTGTATGTGTGTACCAATGGGCCCCTGGACATGTTTCTGTCAGAGGCATTTGCTACATAATGAGATATCATCAAGTAAAGCGTGCAGATTAAATTCATGACTTTCATGATAATGGTAATATTAATTCTTTTTTTCTTTTTTTTTTACAATATTTTTATTGGTTTTGCAACAGCATACAAAGATTTGTTTTCACAGTAATATGCCGCAGTAGTAAGAACACTTTTACCCCCTCACCTCCCATCCCTGCTCTCTCCCAAACCTACATCAAATAAAAACACATGAAGTATACATACATTAGTACAATATGTGGCATTTATACAATTGAAGGAAACAAAAAGAAGGAAAAAAACAAAAAACAAAATAGAAATAGCTAGCACAAACAAAACAATTTTCACCTCATCGACACTCCTGCAGGAGTTGTCTGATATTTGCTTCTTTTATAAAGTTTTTAAATGGCTTCCAAATATCATCAAAATATGTTAACTTGTATTTAAGAAAATATGTTATCCTTTCAATTGCCATACATTGTGCCAAAGAATTTATCCAAGCACCAATAGCAGGAGGATCTGATTTTTTCCAGTTTAATGCAATCATATGTTTTGCCTGTAATGTACAATAATCCATAAACTTAATTTGATGGGCTCTTAGTTTAAGATTTTTAGGATACATATGTAGTAGCAACATTTCTGCATCTAAAGCATTCTTTGTAGTTAAAATTTGGTTTATTTTGGTTATCACTTCCTGCCAAAATGCGCGGACAATTCTGCATTCCCATATACAGTGGAAAGCATGTATTTGGAATTTTGTTGTTATATTTATTCAATTTCACCAGTGTTACATATGTCTGCATGATCCAGTTGTTTTGTAATAGCTTTAGGTTACTATTAACCGATTTTGTGATTTTAAGCAAATTGACTTCATGTCTCCTCAGAAATATTAATATTTAGATCATTTCTAACTGAGAAGCTGATGTTTCTGGAGAGGCAGAGACAATCCAGTTATAAAATGTTGAAATTAAGTCTTTGTTACAACATTTTTTCACCATTAACGCCTCTAAATTAGTTAACTGGGGAACATGCATGGAAGAAATGAAGCTTCTAATCTGTAAATACTTAAAGAAATGTTTTGTTGGAATTTGAAATTTTGAGACTAAATCCTCAAATGAAACCATTATTCCATCACAGAAAAGATCATTTTCCTGGTACAAATAAAGCATTTCCCCAAATAGGACTAAACTGAGAGAGATTGTTCTTAATATTCACCATTTCTTTTATTGTAAATCAAACTTCAATCATATTTCAGACTATAGGATTATTTGTTTCTTTCTTTAATTGTTTTGGCTGTGCAGAGTATAAGTACAAGTTTAATGGAATTTTAAGAGAATTTGCTTCCATCCCCACCCAAGAAGGGATATTTTGGGATGAAAAATAACACATTATTGTCCTTAGTTGAATAGCCAGATAGTACCAGTAAAAATTGGGGCATTTCAACCCCCCTGTATCGAAGGGAAGATACAACAAAGACAAGCGAATGCGGGGACGCTTCTTGTTCCAAATAAACTCTCTGATTAATCATGCTACTTTGGTAAACAATTCAGTCTGAAACATATACAAGAGTTTAGGTCAGGGGTCTGCAACCTTTTACACCCAGTTTCCATGCAAAAGAAAACACTGGGAGCCGCAAATACTTTTTAACATCTAAAATGAAGATAACACTTTATATATTGTTTTTTACCTTTATGCTTTGTGTGAACAACTAAGGTGTGCTGCTTATGAAATCCATGAAGTGCTACAGAGAAAATTACATTTTATTTATGTAATTAACACATTTTGAACTCTTAAAGAAATATAACAAAAGAAAAAAGACACCCAGCTGAACTAAAATGATCCGTGTAGCAAACAAAAACTGTTGTGAGCCGCCACCCTTATATTGCCTTTGGGCTGTTGGAGCCTTGAGCTGACTTTTAAAAAATAATTGGAAAAAAAAGACACTATGCTGCTAAAAAATGAAAAATAGATATTTGCAAAATTCTGCCTAAATATGTATTTTCCCTGGTTAATGTGTGCGGCGGGGCGTGGTCTGCGGCGCCGCTGCAGGGGAGGCGGACGCACCTGAGTGACACAACGGCAATCACGCCTTGCTGCCTTTACGTCTGCGCTATCTGTGCTGTTGTGTTGTTGGTGGTGTATGTCAGCTGTGAGCTGAAAAGCTACAGCCGGCTGCATGCGTACAGCAACCGTGTGTGAAAAGTGGTCAGTATAGAGATGCTGAAAAGCGTGTTCATGCAAACATCGTCGGGTCTGCTGTGATATGTTTACAATGGGACTTCTGCTCCTGATCCTCTGCAGACAGCGTCTGCAAATGTACGAAGTCAGTTTACGCAGGACTGTAAGTTGTCATCTGTCAGGCGTGAACGGTGTTTGTCTTTAACATAGTTCACGGTGGAGAACAGCTGCTGACATAATGTGGATCCGAAGATCCATAATTGGCCTCTCTGTGGTTGAAAGTCTCGATAAATGCACGGCGTTTCTGCGGGTATACCGGCTTCCGTGAGTGTGACTAATTTTGAGCTATGAAAAAATAATAGAATATAATTTTATGTTTATATTTCAATATCACAATAATCTTCCAATTTAGAACTACAAGTTAAAAAGAACTAACATAAAGAAAATACACTTCAGCTAAATACTTCTAACTTATTTTCCCAAACCACGCGGAGCCGCAGTATAAGGACTAAAGAGCCGCAGGTTGCCGACACCTGGTTTAGGTAATACATTCATTTTAAGAACACTTATCCTTCCAATAATAGATAATGGTAAACTTATACAACGCTCCAGATAGTTGGAAACTTTCTGTAGAATTGTATTATAGTTAAGTAGGGCCACATCTTTTAGTGAAGGAACTATTTTAATGCCTAGATAAGTGAATTCAGAATTAACAGTAAAGCCAGTTATATTCTGACTTACGTTTTGACTATATTCTTGTTTAAGTACCATTAATGATGATTTTGTTACATTTATTTTCTACCCTGAGAAGGCCCCAAACCGGTCTATTAAATCCTTTACTGCAGGCACAGAAAATTTTAGTTGCTTTAAAAATAATATGACATCATCATCAAATAAAGCGATTCTATGCTCCTTTCTACCAATCGTAACACCTTGTATTTGTCCACTGGTTCTAACACCTATTCCCAAAGGTTCAATAGCTAAAAGGAATAAAAGTGGAGATAATGGTGAACCCTGCAGACACCCTCTTTTAATCTCAAATGGTTCCGAAATTATCTCATTAGTCATAACCTGAGGAACAGAATGACAGTGCAGTAGTTTGATCCAATGCAAAAATGATTTACCAAACCCAAATCTAACAATGACATCAAAGAGATATGGCTGTTCGATTCGATCAAAATCCTTCTCCGCTTTGAGCGAGGGAATGGCTGTATCTTCCTGTTCACTTTGATTATGAAGAATGTTGAGGACTCGTCTTACATTATGAAAACCCTGCTTATATTTAACAAATCCATTTTGATCATCTCCTATAATAACTGGAAAAACATTTTCTAATCTTTTGGAGAGAATTTTACAGAGAATTTTATTATCTGTATTGACTAAGCTTATAGGACGCATATTTTCACATGTCAACATTTTCTCTGCCTTCCACGATCTCTGTAACTTAAGCACTTAATTATGAAAGTTCTCGATCGGTTTGCAATAGAACTTTGACTTGTGGTTATCCTTTGTGCTCTCTCAAGGACAGGGGGGGGGGGGGGGGGGGGGTTTAAAAATGTCCGCTATAAACTTCTCCATGAAAGTACACGCATCTGTACCTTCTTCTTTCTCAGGTAATATTAATTCTATGTATTATTGGGAAAACAAGCCAAAAATAGTTTTATTTGGCGATTTTGATTGTATTAACATTGTCTGTACTTTGATGTGCCCTGAATAGCAAAGCACAGAAAAACCAAAGTTGAACTTTTTTTCTCAAAATCTTAGACTTATATTCTCAATTGATATTTTTATTTCTGTCTACTGCCACTTGTTAATTCGTAGTCCTAGAAACACTCTGGAAACATAAATCCAATAATCTTAAATTAAAATTTGGATCACTAAATGATATCTACCATTCTGCTGCAAAATTTGTCCCATGATTCAGGAGGTTTTTTAATCTTATAATTTACTAGCTGCTTTTTTTTGCATATTATTTTTATTTATATATTGTTTTATGCACTCACTGGTGCCCTATATGTAATTGATATTTGGCTTATGACTCTTTGGTTTAATTTATACACTCCATGCTAATGTTTTTAGCCTTTCAGAGGTAAAAACTCCTTTTGTTTTTAGTCACTACTGGTATTATTGGAAAGAAATTGAAAAGTTTGCAACATTAAAAAAAAATGTAGTCATTTTAGTAACAAACCAAACACACGTTTGAAAAATAATTATTTTCATTTTTATTTTCTTGCTTCTTTTTCATTAAAGCAGTCCTTTTTGAAATGTTCTTTGTAGCTCCATCTCTTTCGGTGATGAATAATGCCACTGTCCTCTTTATCTACTCACCTTTGACGTTCTTCTTCACATCTCTCATGTAATTTTATCATTTCACCATTTTAAAGTATTTTTTTGTATACATTTTTGTGTTAGTATTTCCTAAGAGAAATTAAAGCTAGATAAAAGCAACATAAAACATAAAAAAATGAAATCCATGCAGTGGAAGCTTTCATCATCAATCTTCTACTCACTCTGTATCAGTAAGGGAGTCTCCTTCTCCACTTTCCTATTTGAAACTCTTATACCACCTCATTCTCAAGTTACCACATTCACAAACTTGGGTGTTCATGCCGCCTGTTCATCCACCAACCTGACAGGGTGATGCCAAAACTCCATCGGCCATTTATGGCTGAGGGGTAAAAACTCTGAGATACCAATTTGTTATGTTTGCAGTACATGTGTGCATTTTGTATCTTATAAGTCAGATATTAAAATGTTAACTTCAGGCTGATATTAAGACATAGGATGCTTAAACAATAATTTGACAAACTGAATATTTAATTCAATATGAAGGTTAACCTCATGGACACTCAGTTATTCATTCACAGAAAAACAGTCATCACCCTACTCCCATTTCCTCCTTCCCTTTCTTTTGCTTTATTTTGTAACACACTAGAAACACACATATCACTCACCCCCTTGTGGCCATTAACTGTGTTGATTGGTCCTACAACTTTCAGGTGAAAGGCAGGATTAAGATGGCCATTCTTTCGCTTATCTGCTGATCCCTCCATCCTGAGCACAGAAAGACAAAAAAATAAACAAGAGCCTGTTGCATGGAAGATGTACAGCTTCATCACTTCGCTCATTCTGACATTCTGGTTTTATGGCCCAAATTGAGAGATAAGAAAACTAGAACGGAACATGAAGCTTCTTATCCAGCTGATGTTAGTGGAAATGAAATTAAACAAATGCTTCCATCCAGTGATTAGACAAGTCTAACTGAGTGAGATGGTTCTTTGACTAAGCTACCATCTTAGAAATAATTTGTTCTAACCAGTCTATGGAATTTCTGTTTGTGTTTGTGTTTGTGATACCTTTACTGTTTGTACTGAGAAACAAAAAGAGAGAAAAAAAACCTCATTCTTAAAAATGCCCCATGCTGTATCACACTGACAACCTTCAGCTTACAAGTGAGACATTAGCGATTGATAAGTACGCCAATGGAGGGGGCAGCACTATGGTCTGTTACAAAGACAGAGGCGAACCAATCAACAAATCATATTAAAATGGTTTACTGGCACCATTTTGCCTCTCATTCTGTACAAGTCATTGACCCTGGATCAGCAAAACAGCCCAGACCATCACACTTCCTCCTCCATGTTTGACAGTTGATGCCACACACTGTGGAATCACCCTACTCGACGGTGTACAAAGATCCTGTATGATGAATCGAAGACTACAAATTTTGATTCATTAGCCCATTATACTCTGGTCTTCAGTAGTCTAATTGCAGTGTTTCATGGCTGAGGCAAGCCTCTTTGTCTTATTCTGACGCCTTAGCAATGGCTTTCTTGCCGCAACTCGTCCTGTGAAACCTACAGCTTGAAGACCACTGTTAAAGTGTACTTGAAGCTGTTTTCCTGTGAGCAACCTATTACGCAAGCTGTTAACTCTCAGAAACTTGTCCTCTGATTCATTTGTGGTTTTGGGTCTGCAGATCTCTTCCTGTCAGTTTGCTTCTGAGTGCCTTTTGATGGTGAAAGAAACCACAGTGTGTTCCAACACTACTTTTATGCAGACAGAGGGGGTTGGAAGTAATCCAGAAAAGTTGCGAACACCTGTAGGAATTAGTAGTACCAGCTTTTAACGCTCAATCAACCTCCACTGCTGCAGAACTGCTTTAAATTGTTAACCCGTTTTGTGTTCCCTGAAAAAAGGCATTTTTCTGTCATTCTAAAATGTACATTATTTTTCAGTTTTGAGCATCATAATACATCAGTGCATATTATATAGTTTTACTTGCTAGACCCCAAAATGAAAATGCTACTTTTTTAAATTCTAGGCTTTCCTCTTTTTGTTGTATCAAGAAAATGTAGTGTTAAGAAACAGACAAACAGTGAAAGACAGACAGTACTTCTTGCATGTGTTCTTTTTTCTTTGGGAAAGCCACTTATGGTAATAAGACGTCTTGATCCTGTGGCAGTAGAAGACCAGCAGCACTGCAGGTAAAACCACCAAGAAGGCAAACAACAGTCCAGCCACCAGCCCCACCTGACCTGTTGACATACACAAACACATATATACATACACACTAATGTGTTTACTAGTATATTTATATGGCAATTGAAACACTTTAATTTAGATCAGCAAGTATCAAGGAAAAAGGGCCATCCATGTCAAAATTTTCTGTTTACTTCTAGTGATCGAACATTCTGAGCCTGTCAGCGAGTCAGAGGGAAAAACAATGTTAACTATAAAGTTATGTTTTGTTTATTTTCAGAGTGAGTATTAAGCTGTAGCAGGCAGCGGGTAAAGCCCAGGCTTGTGAAAGAGGAGAAAAAGGAGGAGGAATAGAAAAAAGAAATGGACATGACAGAGAAAGAGAAAGGGAGAGAGAGAGACTTTGACTTTTAACACAACTTTATTTACACCACATTAAAAAGAAAAACCACGAAAAAGTCAAACCTAACACAAAGTTGCTACTACATCATCAGCAACATCAATATGCACTAACCATTTACTAACCCCAACCAAACTCACACACACATACTTAAAAATTAAGGACAAATGTCCCATCTGCTCCTATTGAACACAAAACCTGTCCAATCCCCCACATAGTTGTAAAGGAGTCCAGATCTTTAGTCAGAGAGTTAAAATCATGCTGTACTGTCAGACGCAATGCCAACAATTTTTATCCCGTTTTCCTTCTCTCACCCCAACCAGTCGCAGCAGATGGCCCTGCCCCTCCCTGAGCCTGGTTCTGCCAGAGGTTTCTTCCTGTTAAAAGCGAGTTTTTCTTTCCCACTGTCGCCAAAGTGCTTGCTCATAGGGGGTCATATGATTGTTGGGTATCTACTTTGCAATATAAAGCGCCTTGAGGCGACTTTTGTTGTGATTTGGTGCTGTATAAATAAAACTGAGTTGAAATTGAACAATCCCTTTAAACTATGCACAGCATCAGTCCAACCCTGACCTAACTTCTGGTTCTTCCTAGTCTTCTATATTGCCAGCTTGGATGTACCAAACAAAAAATTAATCCGAACCAGAGTCCGTCCTTTCTTCACTGAATACTTAGGACCAAAGACAAACAAGGGTACAGAGAATTTCTCCTGCAGAGATTCCACCCACTCCTGCAACAAAGAAAATAAACCCACTAGCCGCAGACAATCAGAATCAGAATCAGAATACTTTATTGATCCCTGGGGGAAATTATTTTTTGTTACAGTGCTCCACTGTATGAACCACTAAGTGCTCCAGTGTCTCCCTTTGTGAACAGAAAGGACATCCCTCCCCAGTGCTTGGATCCAGGTGGGCTCTGTGTCTGTTTGTGGTTATTGCTCAATGTATAATCCTCCACTGGAGGTCAGCCATCCGTTTTTCAACAGGAGGCTTATATGGACCCTCCACCTGCAGGTAACACAGCTGTAATATAGCTGCTTCTTTCCACAAGAGCTGAAACTATCTAGCACTGATGTTCTCAGGGAGAGAAGTAGGCTCCCCTCAGGCTGCTCCTTAAAGACCATCAAGGAGAGAAAAACATATCCGCTGTCATCAGCCCATTGATCAGCTAGGACACAGTTTCCAGTAAACTCTCCCAGTGATGCCGACAGGGATTGCCAAGTTTCCTCCACAATCCTTCCCAGCACTCTGGAGGCCTGTGACACACCCAAGAGTTCCCATTGACATCCTTGTGAGATGGCCCAGTTTGATAATACCAGTCTCCACAAACTTGCTCCTTATAGTGGCAGTAGAAAACACAGTACTTGGAAAAAAGTCATTAAAAAACAGCGGCTCTTCAAAAAGCCACATCCCAGGTCTGGGGTCAGGAGTCTGTGCGAAAGTCATCACTCCCCAAGTAAAACCCAAGAGTTTTAATAGCCCTTTAACCCCATCAAAGATTCCCAGGGAGTCTAGTAATACATGCCAAACTCCACTGCCCCACTAAACACACCTCACTCTTCTCCCAATTAACCCTGGCTGAAGAAGCTTTTTCATATAAAACATTAACATCATCAGCGTATGCTGACACAATAACAGGAGGGCTCTGAGGCAGATCTGGCAAAGAGAAACCCCTCAGCTTGTTCCTCAACCTGCACAGAAAAGGCTAAATAGCAATGCTATAGAGCTGGCTGAGATAGCGCAACCCTGCCTAATCTCTCTCCTAACTGGCACAGGGCAACTCAACCCTCCTCCCACCTTCACAACACAGCAAGTGTCGCTATACCACAGCTTCACCCATGTCTGGAACCCCTGCCCAACAACAAAGGTCTTCTGGATGGAAAAAAGAAAAGCATGGTCTACACGGTCAAAAGCCAACTCTAGTATAGTGTAGTTTACATATGTCAAATACATCTCTCATTAAAAATAAATTATCTATCATAGACCTATCTGGAATACAATAAGATTGATCCACACCAGTCAACAGTTAAATGACCAGTCTATCTGATAGGACCTTGGAAAGTATCTTATAATCTGTACCAGGGCCACTCGTCTCCAGTTTTTAAGAAGGGTTCAATCTCCCTTTTTTGGTATGAGAGAAATAACTGCATGCCTACAGGAAGCTGGAAGTTTCCCTTCTTTAAAACATTCCTTAAACACTTCTAGAAGGTCCAGACCCAGAAGACTCCAGAAGTGCTTAAAAAAGTCTGACGGGAAACCATCTATTCCTGGAGCTTTGCCTGAAGCCATCTGAGATACAGCAGCAGACGGCTCATTCAAAGTTATATCCATGCTTAAGATGTCCCGATCCTCTGGACCGAGTTGAGGAAGCCCCTGCAGAAGTTCTGAAGCAGAGTCTACATCGCTGCTATCTGCCCTGAACAAGTCTGTGTAAAAGTCCACCGCATGCCTTCTCATCTCAGCTGGATCTGTGATCACATTTTCATTCGAAAGACGAAGACACACCATTTGTTTTCTCTGGGCTACAGACTTCCCCAAATTAAAGAAAAGGTTGAGGCGTCCATGTCCTGGAGTCTGGTGAAGCATGCTCGAACCAAAGCTCCTTTAGCTCTCTCATATTGAAAATGATCAAGCTCTTGTCTTTTAGAATTTAAACAGTCATTACATTACAACAGTCATTATTCTGCTGATCTAACTGTGAACCAGAGACATTCTTTTTATGTTTTATCTCTTCTTTAACTCCTGCAGAGTTCTCTTGATATTGGCTGTCAAATTAAAACCATATTGCTGCTGCAAAACACACAAATCTGGGCCTTTCCTACTTCCCACTATTGAGTAAGGGAATTAAAATCACCAGAATCATCAGAAGACGACTGAAGATGCGGGTCCTCCCCAGTCCCATCCAAAGTAAAATCAAGACAACAATTCCAGTCCCCACCCAATACAACACAGTCCCCTTGATCAGCACCTCTTAATTTCTCTTTTAATGTTTAAAAACAAAACCTTACGCTCAGACCCTAAGTTTGGTGCATAGACATTAATCAAAGTAAAAATAAAAACGTCTATTTCAGCTCTGCGCTTTACTCCATGCTGAAAGTAATATTTGCATTTAGAGAAGGAGAAAATAAAATAGCAACACCTGTGCTAAAATTTGTCCCATGGCTAAAAAACTGCTACCCCACCACAGACCCGTCTACTTCATTTGTACTGTCAGTATGTGTTTCTTGAAGACTATATCTAGTCTCTTCTGCTTGATTACTTCTTATTTGCATCCCTGCACCCATTCACATTCAAGGAGGCTACCCTCAACCCCTGCACATAAGAGGAAGCCATCAAGAAAGGAAACAGCAAACAGAGATGAAACACCCAGTGTTGCAGGATCATGGCGATAATGCTTTTTACCATCCAGCACACCAAAAATGTTCAAATATATTGAAGGTGAAAAAACATTTTCTTTAAGGCATAGGTTTATGTTGTATACTCACTGCCATACTGAACCGGCCCACTGTCCACACTGCCACCAAGTCCTGGCTTCTCACAGAAGGGTGGTGCCCAGCCTTGATTACAGTGGCAGTTCCCATTGCTGTTACACACCTGAATATTATACACACAAAAGAAATGTCTTAAGTTGGTCTCTGACCCCTTTCTCTCCCTTTGTATACATGTCTGTGTGTGTGATTGTGTGCATGCTTGGATATTTGTGACTACCTGGAGGTGTATTAGTCAATGCATTAAGGCATTGTGTGCTTGTATTTATTTATATGCGCATTTATCTCAACACTATGAAATTTTCATACTGGAGAAAAAACTGCATATTGAATATTTTAAATATTCCTGACTTCAGCTAATTTCTAATATTTTCACTGACAGCGGGGAAGAAAGAGATTAAAGGAGACTCTATGCTTGCATTTTCTTGTTACTCATATTGTTTCAAATACTAATTCAATCCTGATATAATAGACTCTGTCAGGTGAGACAGGATCCACTTCGAAAAAGCTGCTGAGCAGTTCAAAACACAAACTAGGCTGTGCCAACTAGGGTTATTCTCATAACATATGTGTAAAACTGGGCATTGGAAAAACTTTGCCCTGGTCAAGACACACCAAGCTACAATCAAGCACGGGTACACGAATACCAGCTCCAGCCTCCATTCTCTGCCAGATTGTCTGCTAATCACTGGCAACTTGGCCTCCAAATGATTTTGTTTTTGACAAGTCTGGACTAAGCTACCTTGCAGTCACCTATTTGCCTGCCCTCTGGACTCAATTCACCTCTAGGCTCGCTAACAAAATCTATCAAACACCTTCATTATGCAACCATAACACACCAGACAGAACCTGTCCACTTGGACCTAGTCTCTGGCAATCACAGGGAATCTGTCACCTTTGTCACCTTTTCTGTTTCCAAGACTCCTTGGTTAGCAAGCCATACTGACTGGTCAAAAGGGCGAGTGAAGAGCTGGAGTTTGTTTTGCCTGGCTCACTATTTAAAATCAGCTCTGCCCCCTGCTTTAAATAGTCCCCAGACAGAACCCGAGCCTAAGCCTGATTTATCCTCTGTGCCACTAGCACATCATGACTTACATGAGGTTTTTAATAAAGATAAAACATTATTTCTTCCTCTGCACAGGCCCTATGACTGTGCCATAGACCTCCTCCCTGGTGCTCCGTTGCCTCCGTCCTGTAAAGACTGAAGGTGCTGCCTCCCATTCTATTGTACTTTTAAATATCCTAGGAACAACAAGTAAACAAGTGGTCTCTGAGAGAAGTACTGTATTGGGGTGATATAGTACTTGAGGTCTCAAGGATAAGATGGGGCTTGACAATTCAAGACCTTGTATGTCAGGAGAAGAATTTTTAATCTTACTGAATTTAACAGGGGGCCAGTATGGGTGAAATATAGTCTCTCTCTCTAGACCCTGTCAGTACTCTCGCTGCAGCATTTTTTAATCAAACTGAAGGCTTTTCAGGGAGCTTTTAGGAGTGCATGATAATAATGAATTATTGGAAGTGCAGGAACTAGTTTTTCAGCATCAGGATGTTTTTAGTTTTAAGATGTTCCACACATGGAAGAAGACAGTGTTTCATATGCACACTGAAGGACAATCAAAATTGACTCCAAGACTTCTTACAGTGTTACTGGAGGCCAAGGTAATGCCATCCAGAGTAAGCATCTGTTTTGACACCATGTTTTGTTGTGTGACTCTGTGTGATTATTGTGTATATATACATTTATATTGGTGTTTGTGTCTGTATGCTTACCCCATTGTTGTGACAGCGTGCAAGGCAAGTCTCTAACTCAGTAAAAGAGGCATTTTGGCATCTGCGGTCTCTGCACACCTTTGGCAACAGAAGGACAAAGATTACATAACGATTACAGAGCAGGTACACGCAGAGTTTAAAGGGGCTCCTTGGCCTAACTCTTGTGGGGATACTACAGAGAGAAAGCAATATATACAGAAAGACAATTTGCAGATGGGTACATTTTCATCCATTTGTATCTCACACATAATTCAGCTCTTATTTTGTAGGGTGTATGTGGGGAATTTACTTACAACTTTATATTCCATTCGACAAAGTGCCAAATAAACAAGATACACAAACAGGCCTCCTTAACCCCCAGTAGCCCTTTTTATTAGATCAATAATATGCATTGATCGAATGATCAGTGCATTATATTAGATCAGTAAATTTTGACAAAGGGAACAGGTGACAACTATAAACCATGCTCCTTTACACAGTAAATAAAAACCACAAACAGCTTATACTTAAAGAGTCAGAGATATCAAACTTTCCTTGAAGTTTCAGTTACATTCAGACCACATCTGAATGAGTCTGTTAACTTAGGCCTATAAGGGAGCCAGGAATGACAAAATGATGAATTAAATATGCTACTTACTAATTAATTACAATTTTATTAATTAATAAAAAATGGAATTCATTAATTAAATATTTCAATAATGATTTAAATGCTCGTTAATTTCATTTAAAACATTTAATAAATTATTTATTACCTAATACCGTTATATTATATCTGGGTATAAAGTGTAATCTCGAAATTACAAAATATTTAATTCAGTTCAATTCAGAAGCCAACATCAAAGAGATGTAAGTGACATTAAAGCCATATTAGTCAACGTGTAGACCACTTGGGGCCAGACTAACTGGCTCTAAACATTTAACTTTATATTTGGCAGGAGGTTATATTAAAACTGATAAATATATGGCAATTTACACTTGTTTCCTTGTTCTAACAATGCTTCTTGGCAATGAATCTTCTACCGTTGGAAAGCCTGTTTATTTCTTCTTGAATGTTGCCATATTCTTAAGGAAAATACATCTATGTATTAAGGAATAGAGGTGAGTATGTGGTTTGCCAAATCTTTTGTGGTTATACTAAACAACTTATCCTGCTATTGTTTTGGGCTTCTGGTACTCTAGGTGGTGACAAGTGGGTGCATGCTTGGCACCTCAATAGCAACACCACAGACCATGACCCAGTGATCCGTTGATGTCTGCTCCATGCATGCCACATTTGACTGATCTGGATAGGGCCCCAGCCACAGGGCAACTTCAACATGCAGTAAGTATCAAGTTTTCATGTTTTCAATCAACATTTGCCTGACCACAAAATTCCAGCTTGGTCTGAACCCACCTTGCCCTCTCCGCACTTGGTGCCGGTCATGACAAGACCCGGGTCAGGCAGGTCACCCTGGCCATCCTGGGTGCTGTAGACGTATGTGCCACGACATTTCACCTCTGTTCCTCCAGTCTTGATGGTAGTGTCAATTGACACAGCATTGGTGCCTTTTGGCTTTGTGGCAGCACTGTGGCACTGAATCTTCCCACACTTGGCATCGCTAAACAAAGATACAAGCACATAAGACTTAATTTTTCAATGGCCAGTCATTTAACCTCTGAGAAACCATTTCAAATAACCTCTGAATGTTGATGAACAGCCACAGTAGCGCAGTTGGGTTCAAAAATACATCAATTATCCACTGCTTGAGATATAATGGTAGGGGAGATGCCATATGGTAGGACGAATAGCTCTGTACATGGGATTAAAACTAGCCCTGGATAAAAAAGTAAATATAGTGGAAGTAGTGGTGAGAACTAGTTTCTTTTAGCAACAAATGAGGAAAGGCTCAGAGTCTTTCACCAAAGGACATGGTTATAAACTAAATGTGACAACTTGGAATAAAGATTAAGACACAACCTATGAATAAATGAATGAATATGTCCTCGAGGGATTGAAAAAAAATGATATAGTGGTACTTGTGATTAACTTTACTTGCTCATCACTGTAAATTTATGATGATGTGGATATCTACGTATTGAAAGTGTATAATGTTCATAGACGAGTTAACCCAAAGAATAAGCTCCACCATGTGCAATATTGTTTACTTTCTAATCTAACAAATGGCAGAACATGTTATCCAAGCATGGAAAGGAAACATCATCTATGTAGCTTATTGCTCCTATTGTTAGCACATGGCATTGAATAAGTTATGCATGCTCTCTGATTACACAGAATGACTTTGAACACTTGTGGTAAATAACACACTATTAGCAAAACATAGTGTGAAATAATTACTAGAGATGGCACGATACCATTTTTTTATGTCCGATACCGATATCACAAATTTGGATATCTGCCGATACCGATATGAATCCGATATAGTGTGTTTTAATCAATAAAACAGTTTTTTAATATCTTGCTGCTTTTTGTATAAGTTCATACTCAAGTAAAAACAAACAAACAAAAAAAAACCACTAAAGCTATTCTGTTATACCTGTATGCAAAAAATACACTGCACCCAAAATATTTCATAGTTCAGCAACACTGATCAATCTAATAAACTTAAACCTGCACCATCCTCCCTATTCTGGTATTTTAAAGAGTAAGCAACCTAACGAATAGGGTTGCAAACTCCCAGCAAAAAAACAAAAAACAAAATAGGGAACCACCCCTCACGCTCCACCTCATGATGCTTAATCGACGTAATCAACTTTAATTTGATGCAGTGTGAAAAAAATGCACAGAAATCAATTATTTTTCAAGAATAATTAAATAGATTCAACATCTTTCTTCAACAGATTTGCAGACTGCACAGATGGTATCTTCCCAAAGGAAAAAGTACTATAGCTTACTAGGGTATATTAGACTTAATAGTTACTATATTTAGTAATAGACTTCTATACATTTTACATCAGATTAAAACTTTGGGTGTAAGATTCAGATAATTATTTATCAAAAGCTAGACATTTTAAATGAGAATAAGAAAGAAAAGTATGTCTTTGTGCCCCCTTTTCCCTGTTCATGCCCTATCGGCCCTCCTGGCTAAACTTTGCTAGATCCGCCCCTGCACAGTTACCAGCTGTCAGCTAGAAAAGGATCCTGGTGTAGAAAGTAATATTAAATAAATTCTAACAACAGCTTATCAAGCTTAAACGTTCTGCTGTTGTTCAGCCGCTGGTTTCCTCTTTCTGGTGCGAAGTGGGCCAAAAACAAACAAGAGAGACGGATTCGCGACAGAAAAGCCGATCAGCTGATCATTGATCAGTTTCATGATTGAAGTAGCAGCAAGAAGAGGCAGTCGCTCCATATATCGTTATTAAGCTTAATGCCGGAATGCTTTACAAACATTCAGAGATGAACTTACACATTTGCTTTACTTCTCTCTGGGATAACTTCCTCGGAGATGAAATGCCGCATTGGTAACGAGGCTACAAAAACACACAGCCGCTCTATCACGTGAGGCACACTGCTGCCACGTGCTACGGTTATGAGCCGAGTTACGCCATGTCGCAAGTTTTGTGAGGTGCTTTTTTGATATTTAATGGATCGGATTACATTTTTTATTTCTCTCAGATATCCGATCCAGTAATTCACGTCAGTATCGGACCGATACCCATACGTAATATCGGATCGGTCCATCTCTAATAATTACAGATCAACATACAAGTGAAGATCTTTAACTACATTTAGTGTTTAAAGCAGATGCTGTGCAGGTTTGAGATCAGCAGCTTTCTTAAAGAGTCCAAGGATCCTGTTGACCTTGTAAAGTTCAATGCAATCTAGTATCCATGTGTGGGGCATTATGTCATAGGCTTTCTTGTAATCAATCCAGGAGGCGCACAGGTTGGTCAATCTGGTCTTAGAGTCTAAAGTAACTGCTCTATATACTACTATATGCTGAAGGCCTGTGCTAGCCAGCTGTGTGGAATAATTCATCACCTATACAACCTGAGTATGCACCTCCAGAGAGTCCCAGTGCTATGGAAAACATCATGCCTGGTCCCAGTGCCTAAGAAGTATCATCCAGCGGCATTAAATGACTACAGGCCTGTAGCACTAACTTCTCATGTTATGAAAGTTACAGAGAGCTTATCCTGGAACACCTCAGACTCCTTGTGAGCAAGACCCTCTGCACTTTGCATACCAGCCCCACTTAGGGGTGGATGATGCAGTGATACATCTGCTGCAGAGAGGGTATTCCTCCCCCGACAGACCCAACACCACAGTTCGGATAATGTTCTTCGACTTCTCTAGTGCCTTTAATACGATCCAGGCAGGGCTGCTGAGAGAAGTTGGAGAACATGCAGGCGGAGGCTCCACTGGTCCAGTGGATCACCGACTACCTGACAGGCAGACGACAGTTTGTGAGACTGCAGAGCTGTGTGTCAGAGAGTCTTAACAGCAAAATAGGAGCATCCCAATCAACTGTTCTGTCCCCTTTCCTCTTCACCATCTACTCGGCCAACTTCAAGTACATCACAAAAACTTGTCTCCTCCAGAAAGCCTCTGATGACACGGCCATTATTGGATTGGACACGGAGCTGCCTACAAAAAGGGTTTTACGAAGGTTCAGCTCCTTCAATGTATGCAGCAGCCTGCTCTATATGTTTTATCCGTCTGTTGTTGGCATGAGGAGGAGGTGATCAGTGACAGAATGCTGGCAGTCATGGACAATGACTCCCACCCCCTTGATAACACACCTGACAATCTGAAGAGCAGTTTCGGCAACAGGTTCCTTCAACCTCGCAGTCTCGCAGGAACATCACAGGAGTTCGTTCCTTCTGCTGCCATCAGACTCTTTAACTCATCCACAGATCCACACATGTGGAACAGTATTAATGACACTTTGATGCACCCCATCACTTTTGTACACCATGACATATTTGCCCACATGTTTTTACCTATATTGCTATATTCATCTATTTATTTTAATATTTATCTTAATATTCATCATAACTCTGTTTCTACCCTCATATCTGGCTTTGCACCCATTTAAGTTCAAGGTGGTCCACAGGTCGGGAAGGCAGATGGTCGTGGCCGATTTCCTCCCGGTGGGGGAGTAGGTTCGGCAGGATCTAGCCCCAGCCTCAGTCAGGTGGTGGGGGTGGGTGGCAGGGGTGTGGTCCCTGGCTCTGCTGCAGTGGAGGCGTGCTGCAGCAGGGAACAGGGAAGCTGAGGGCCAGGTGGAGGGGATTTCACTAACGAACGCTCTCTCTTTTTGTAGTGATGCTGAGGACCAGAGAGGGTGTGTGTGTGTGTGTGTGTGTGTGTGTGTGTGTGTGTGTGTGTGTGTGTGTGCGCGTGTGTGTGTGTGTGTGTGTGTGTGTGTGTGTGTGTGTGTGCAGGAACAGCTGGAAAGCTATCCAAAGGCGTCGAGTTGCCGACCAGGAAGCTATGTGGCTGAGCTCCCAGGACGAAAGGCTGTCTGAGGAAACGTTACAGCAGGTTGTTCCTTCTGCTGCCATCAGACTCTTTGACACACTAAAAATAAACTGTTACACTACATTTGAAAGCTGTGTGGCTCCATGATGTGTCAAAGTATAGTACTGTAAAGATATGTTCAACAAAAGCATTTCCAATATTAGTTGTATCTGTTATCAGTGTGGATAACCCTACGGTAAATAGCTGATGCTATTTAACACATGCGGTGATACCTGATATGTGAAGCTTCACTTACCTTTTCTTACACTTCACATAGGTGCCATATTCATCTTTCCCACAATTTCCAAAATCATTTCCTGCTGCATTGACATCTTCAAAGCAGACATCGTGGGCCGGTTGAGCTCCTGGAAACATATCATACCCAATTAACTCTATTTTCCCAAAATACCCCAAAGGCAAAAGTCACTACATCAAAAGTTGAGTAACATTAGAAATGTAAGGATATGTGAATGTTTGGTGCTTTGAGTGCTTTGTGAAAGTAAGGATAGACCTTTCCAAGTACCAGGCTATTTACTATGTACTAAACTTCCTGAGAAGAGAACACAGATGTTTGGATGACTAGACGGAAGAGTTACAAGAAATTGAAGACATCACTTTTAGGAAACATAAGTTGGAATACAATGTCAACTAACTAACCTTGGTAAGCTGACAGTATAGACATTTCATTTGTAGTTTTATTAAATACTGACCTTCAACAAAGACTTAGTGGTTTATAGGCATGTGCAGTAAATTAATGTCATATTGAGGGAGGTGATGAAGTGCATGTAAAACCATTTTCATTACCGTAGCCCCAGAGCTGCAAGCACTGCTGTTCATGGGTGAGGCACATGCCATTGTAGCAGTAGGCCATTCCGTATTGACAAGAGGAGCCATCCAGCAGGTAAACGTTGGCAGGGCAGTAAGGAGAAGCCCCAGTGCAGTATTCTGGAAGGTCACATGCTCCTGCTGGGCGCCGGCACATGGTACCCGCCTGCTTCAACTGACATGCGTAGGGAACAGAGGGTGAGGAAGGAGGAAAGGAGCACAAGACATGGAGAAGCATCTTTAGTTTAGTGATACTTAGCAAAATGATGCACACTGAAGCCTTCTACATATAAGGATTAAAGTGTAAATATCTGCCTACAAATACTTCAAATTTGATTTCTGATGCGTTTAACTAGAATTTTCCCAAAGCAAACAGATTTTCCCAAGCAAATGACAGCTCTACCTCCCATCACCATAGGGGTAGGCAATATACAGAAGGTTTATGAAAGCTTTTTTCTAGAAAATATCTTTGTGTGTTCATTGTTGATGTAAAAAACAAAATCCTGGAGGTGGTTTAAATCTAAAAGCACACTTACACATTACAAATAGTTATTTGAACCAATGTTTATATGAAATACTCTTTAGTCTAAATGAGAAGAAAAACTAAAAACAGTATTAAAAGAGTTTTTAAGTAAAACCATTAGGTTTAAAATGCAAACGTATAAAGGAGAACAAACAAATTGTTGCCACAATGGATGGACCAGCACATCTGATTTGGACCTGATTTTTAACCCACATCCCCTGACACAGCCCTACCATTTATCCAACCTCGGGACCTGCACTTGGAGTACACGAGATTATCTTGCAACACTAATCCTTCACTTGTAAGGCGAGTGTGTTAACCATTATACTCACAAGACAACAAATACAGGGCTCTAGAGTGCGACCAAATTTTTCAGTGGTGCGACTAAAAAAAAAATTATTTGGTTGCACCTGTGCGACCAACTGTTCAGGTAGCAAAAAAAAAAAAAAAAAATCTGCAACCTTCCCTGTGGTCAACAACAGACACACATCATGCCCCTATCGTGGACTAAACCAATCAGAGATAGTCAGGGGCGGGACCTCTCTGATTGGCCGTGGTCCAGTTGAAAGTGCAGGTGGAAGTGGGAGGTGAGTAGCTTGAATAAAGCGATATCAATTCATTAAATCCAGAATCAACTTTTAAATATAACTGTGTTTTGCCATAAGCGCCAGATTCTCAGATTAAAGCTCACAAAACCATTTCAACAACAACCAAACAGCAGATGAGAGCAGGTACACGGATTCCACACAAAGATGTAAACACAGACCCGACGCATCAGAATCAGCTTTGTCTTTCTCGGCTTTCTCTTACTTTGCACCCCTCGCAGCACATTCCATGGGCACACTGGACCGCCTCCTTCAAGGTACAGTTATTGGGATTGCAGCAGTCGTTTTCACATTCCTGTTGACAATCATACAATAACATACAATATCAAGGTTTAAACACTGAAGCGTATATAACGAAAAACAATAATAATAAAATAATAACTTCTGCTTTAACTTTAATGATTCGAATAAAACAGACTTCATAAATGATTTGAAGGTTATGTTTAATCACCTTTTTTACAGAGTAAGCTCAGTTATGTAAAAAGAACTATATTTAACCAATAAGCAAAAGCAACTACACACACACACACACACATACTTCTCTGTTCAGAGTATCTGTCTGAGCTGCTGCCTTGTTCTGCCTCGTTCTCTCAGGTCAGCAGACCAAATACTTTTCCTTGTTCTAAAGACATAATGGATACTCGAGGGGACAGGCCTTCGCAGTTGCGGCTCCAAAATTGTTGAGCAATGTGTGACTGCAATGTGTATGACAAAAGAATTTCCCTCGGGATAAATAAAGTTCTTCTTATCTTATCTTATCTGCACATAAGGAAGGCTTAAAAACGCACTTTTAATCCACTCACCGAAATCAGGACTCGAGTCTTGATTTCCACTTTGACATTCAGATGACGGGATCAATATTTGGTGTAAATAACATGAACTAGCTGCATTAGTACTAGCATAGTGGTGAATAAGTATAGAAGTGTGTGTGACGTCTCCTTATTTTCTTTCAAGACTGTCAGTGGACCACCGCTTTTGGCACCAGTAGAAAACAACAGTGATCGCAGTACATCCATACTCCCTAACAAAGGCTTGTATGCTGAATCACAATGGGCACAAGCACTATTTCTATGCAGAAGTGCTTTCTATCTAACATTACTCCTTACTCCAATGGATGCATCGGAAACAGACTTGGGGTTAACCTCATGCCTAAGGCATGCCAACTTTAGGGTTAGGGATAACCTAACCCACCAACCTTCTGATTAGTAGATGATCTGCTCTACCTCCTGAGGTACAGCCACCGCAGTGGGCGTCGTATCACAGTCTCAAAAAAGTGCTGTTTAATTTTTTTAAACAATACAGTAAATAAATGCATCTGAAATGCAGTGATGTGAAGTCATTACTTTCATAATAAGAATACTCTGGCTTTTCTCTTCTATTTAAACCTACATTCGACAAAGATGAGAACTCTGCACAGTGGTATGACAATTAAAAATCCGATTATCTATAACAACATAGCATAGCATTTCATCTGTTTTTAAAAGCTGAAAAAACTACAGAATGGACATGATGATGAGATGGTTTTGTCAAAAGTTGGATATTTTCTCTTCAGCTAAGTTTTGTGTGAAAATCAGCTGACAATTGTCTGCAAAATAATTTAATAATAGGACAAGTAAATCATAACCAAGGTTTAAAGCTGTTACAAAAAGTAAATGAGCATCAAAAAAGTTTTTTAACTTACGAGAATTAAACATAATGCATTACTTTATTGCAGGGGTCAGGCCTGTGTCCTGCAGGTTTTAGATGCGTCCTTGGTCCAACACAGCTGATTCAAATGGCTAAATGACCTCCCCACTTGTCATGAAGTTCTCCAGAGGCCTGGTAATGAACAAATCATTCGATGCAGGTGTATTGACCCAGGGTGATATATCTGCAACCTACAGGACACCAGCCCTTGAGGCCTGGAGTTTCCCACCTCTGCTTTATTTATCCTTTTATCTGGTAGGGAAAGTTAATATAAGTTCAAATTGAATACTTGTCCTCACATCTGGTTCTCCACAATCACACTCTTCTCCGTCCTCCACAAAGCCGTTGCCACACTTCTTGCCCCCCACCAGATCGTTCATGTTGGGAATGTTATATAAGCACATGCCCCCTCCCTTCTGGAAATAGCGGTCCAAATCGCGTTTGCTGCAGTAACTGAAGACTCGAGGGAATGGGTGCCTGGACAGGGACATTATCATATTATTAACATTGAACAGAAAGTAAAAAAATATCAATGTTATGCATGCATTTGTACATTTTACAATTATTCAATCTGTAAGTATTTTGACTGATATACTATTTAAGTCATTAGCAATTAGCAGAGGGAGAGAGAGAGCATGTGAGAGACAGAGGTCACAGGTTCTGAATGAGCTGTGTGTTACTGCTTTGTATAACTTGAACTATTTTTTTTTCAAAGATAAAAAAACAAAGGTGAAGCTGTGAATGATGAAGTATTTTAATATATTTTGCAGTTAGGCTTAAACATGGCTCTTTACCATCCCTGCTCCCATCACAGAAACCATTAATATTGAATGTACGACTACCACAGTAATCTTGGACATGGGCGTAAGAAAAAAAGAAGGAAAAAGCGTGCATGGGCAAAACACCTTCCAAGTACTATTCAGCTACCTCCCTCTTCTCAACATAGATGCTCATCTAGAGGCTAAATCCATGGTCATCATAATCATCAAGGTGATATATAAAGAAGATGCACTGACTCTAGAACAGTTCTGCACTTATCTTAATCCCGTGGCCTTTTCAGCTATTGCCTAGACTTTTAAGCCACTTCCTTTGTAAACTAGTCACGTGTATAAGCTGACAGACCAGGGATCTCAAACTCAGAGGAGCTGGGGGCCACTGCTGGCACTGTCATCTCATCAGAGGGAAAGTCCACAAATATTTCCAAAAATTTAGTGTTTTTGTTTATTTTAAATATGACAAAAAAACCTATGACTGAACGTTATTGGAAAACACAAACCGTGTATAGACGAGTCTTAACAGTTTACTTACAACTGGGCTCGTCAGGCACTCTACACTTGCAGTGGTTATTATTATATTTACATGCTTTCATCTTCTGTTTCTCACCAGTAGCAACTTGTACTTTTCAACTCTCCTTTTCCTCCGTGCCTCGCACTCACACACACACACACAAAGGGAGGGGCAGTCCCACAAATTCTCCTTGCAGCACGGACTACACTGTCCATACACTGTCACAAAGGGCAATGCCTGTAACACTGCTCATATTGCCTTCATGTTAAATCATTTTTTTTAAATAATATCGTTAGCTTCATAGCATAATTGCCTAAGTCAATGACTTAGGCACTTATGCTATGAAGCTAACGATATATATATATATATATATATATATATATATATATATATAAAAAAACACCCAGCACGCCCCTGCGGGCGGTTTATCCTTCAAGCTCGGGTCCTCTACCAGAGGCCTGGGAGCTTGAGGGTCCTGCGCAGTATCTTAGCTGTTCCCAGGACTGCGCTCTTCTGGACAGAGATCTCCGATGTTATTCCCGGGATCTGCTGGATATATATATATATATATATATATATATATATATATATATGTACACTCAACAAAAATATAAACGCAACACCTTTGTTACTGCTCCCATTCCCCATGGGATGGACGTAGAGACCTAAAATTCATTCCAGATACACAATATAACCATCCCTCCCAAACAGTGGTCACAAATCAGTCCAAATGTGTGGTAGTGGGCACATCTGCTATATTGAGATAATCCATCCCACCTCACAGGTGTGCCACATCAGGATGCTGATCTGACATCATGAGTAGTGCACAGGTGTACCTCAGACTGCCCACAACAAAAGGCCACCCTGGAATGTGCAGTTTTGTCTCACAGCAAAATGCCACAGATGCCACAAGCAATGAGGGAGTGTGCAATTGGCATGCTGACAGCAGGAATGTCAACCAGATCTGTCGCCCGTGCATTGAATGTTCATTTCTCAACCATAAGCCGTCTCCACAGGCGTTTCAGAGAATATGGCAGCACATCCAACCGGCCTCACAACCGCAGACCTCGTGTAACCACACCAGCCCAGGACCTCCACATCCAGCAGGTTCACCTCCAAGATCGTCTGAGACCAGCCACCCAGACAGCTGCTGGAACAATTGGTTTGCACAACCAAACAATTTCTGCACAAACTGTCAGAAACCGTCTCAGGGACGCTCAACTGCATGCCCATCGTCCTCATCGGGGTCTTCACCTGACTCCAGCTCGTCGCCGTAACAGACTTGTGTGGGCAAATGCTCACATTCGATGGCGTCTGGCACGTTGGAGAGGTGTGCGCTTCACGGATGAATCATGGTTCACATTGTTCAGGGCAGTTGGCAGCTGAGAATGTCCCAGTTCTTGCATGGCCAGCATACTCACCGGACATGTCACCCATTGAGCATGTTCGGGATGTGCTTGACCGGCGTATACGACAGCGTGTACCAGTTCCCACGAATATCCAACAACCTCGCACAGCCATTGAAGTGGAGTGGACCAACATTCCACAGGCCACAATTGACAATCTGATAGACTCCATGCGACGATGTGTTGCACTGCATGAGGCAAATGGTGGTCACACCAGATACTGACCGGTTCTGGGTCCCCAGACCCCCAATAGCGCAAAAAACTGCACATTCCAGGGTGGCCTTTTGTTGTGGGCAGTCTGAGGTACACCTGTGCACTACTCATGATGTCAGATCAGCATCCTGATGTGGCACACCTGTGAGGTGGGATGGATTATCTCAATATAGCAGATGTGCCCACTACCACACATTTGGACTGATTTGTGACCACTGTTTGGGAGGGATGGTTATATTGTGTATCTGGAATGAATTTTAGGTCTCTACGTCCATCCCATGGGGAATGGGAGCAAAAACAAAGGTGTTGCGTTTATATTTTTGTTGAGTGTATATATATATATTTCTTCACCTCAATATGCGGGCTGCAAGTAGGGGTGACGTGGGCTGCAAATGGTCCCCGGGCCGCGGGTTTGAGACCCCTGTCTTAGACAGTGCTGGAGGAAAGCAATCCTTAGGTTTCAGTTTAGCTCCACTATAGCCACTGCTACTTATTGTAAACCGTGAAAAGCTTACATGATATTTTGATTCTACGCTTTCTGTCTGATATTGTATTGTATTATGTCAGTTTGTTATATTGTAATTTTTATTGAACTAAGTTGTTTATCATGTTTATCAAGGAACAAAGTCTTTCACACAAATACTTGTTTTCCTTCATTCAGATTTGTAGTACCTATTTACAGGACAACACAAGAAAAACAAATTCAAAGGCAAAATGTAAAAATCTAATAAAAAATTATCAAGGGAATAGTTTGTTAAACAGCCATGCTAGTATTTCAGCAGCTAGAACTTTTTTTCATGTGTCAAGTAATGTAATGTGTCAGTGTGTTATGGCTGCTTCGTTCTATAAAACATTTCTTCCTGTTAAAAGGTTTTTTCCTTTCGTTGTTGCCACGTCCTTGTCATGTTTACTATATTATTGTAGGGTCTTTATAAGGAAGCTTGAGGGAATTGCTGTTGTGGTGCTATATAAATAAAATTGACTTGAGTTAAAATCAAGGTGTTAGTAACAACATCTGAGGGTGACTAGGATGTTTCTTTAGTCCTGTGCAGAGCTCGTGGCTAACCCGGTGGCAGCGGCCATCACACAGCCTCCTTGATCGGCAGTGGCCTCCACACAGCAGCTGTCATGGTCATGGCTCATCCCAAAGTTGTGGCCAATCTCGTGGGCCATGGTGGCTGCAGCACCAATGGACAGCTCTGAGTGGTCCTGTAGAGGAATAACAAAAGGAGCTGTCACTTATGTGATGCAGTCTATCAACAATATGTTCAAACTAATTTAATATGGGTGTGTCAAAGTAAGCTGACTTCATGGTTGGGCCAGGTTATTATGGTTATTGTTAAGTCTATTAAAATGATTTTAGTGCATCTAAGTTAAAAGTTGAACTGTGGATTTGTATGTTGTATCTCAAAACTCCTGGTTATAAATTTGTATTTGTTTGACTGATTGTCTAACTTTGTGTTCCTTTTTCAGTGATATATTATTTTTTTGATTGTTAACTTTTCAAACTGACATGTTTAAAGAATGAATTTGTTACTTTTAACATACATTAAATTATATCTTTATTAAAGTAACAAAATGAGTGAGTGTGTTTCCAGCATGGCCAGAGGGGTGCTAAGCCTAGAAGACTCGCAACACACAGAGCTCTTGATTTTTTTTAAAACTTCTATATTACAGTTCGTTAATACCAAAGAACCATCTCCAGTACTTTCTCCTGTCTCAAAATTTCATGTCAGAAAATAATGTAGACATCAACAGGCATAACACGCACATACGATTTACACACGGTTTACACATGCCTCAATTCGTGGGCATGTCCATGTCCCATTAACAATAGCTTGATAAACAAAATAAAATTATTTTTCTAGTGTCTAAATGGATGCTCAGTCAACCAGGTACAGAAATGGTCATGACAATTTGCATATTAATGAAGAAACTGACCTCATAGCCCATTTTTTGCCAGTTGTACTAGTTTCAGTCAGTATGTATGGTTTAAAAGGTTAGGGAAACCTGCAGTCAGCTGAGACTGAGCGGCTCATTTATCATCACTTCGATGAGTGACAAAATGTTTCTCCCACTTAAAACGCTACGTCCAGGTGAACAGAATAAACTTTTTTGGGATTTTTATTCCATTATTTCAGACTGCAGTGATCCCAATAATATGTGGGGTACATCAACAACATTTATTTTGAGTCAGATACTAAAGGCTTCTCTAGGAGCAGCGGCTGTCTCGCTATCTGAGCAGTACAGCAAGTTTTTCTTTTGAATTCAGCTGTTGCTAGAAAGCAGAATGATGTCAGCTGTGAATTATTATAAGAAAATGAAAAAGCTAAAAATTAGAAAAAAAACCCTCTGGATTTGTAATTTACCTGTTTATATAAGCCTGTTAATTAGTGGGCTTTTAACCTGGATCATTGACCATCTGATAATACAAATAAGATGGTCAGTGATATTTCAGTGGATACTCTCCATGCCCAAAAACAGACAGTGAAGCGAGCAGGAAAAAATTACATGACGTGAAGACAGAGAAAAAGAGGAGGAAGAAGGAAAGAAAAGTAGAAATGTATTTCCACATACCACATTGATGCCTCCAGAGTTTTCCAGGCTGCACATCCCCTCCAGTGGTGCCATGCCGATAGTTGTCCCCTTGAATGTCACACCCCTTTCACACAGAGAAAAAACACGAGAAACAGAGTGAATTATGACTTAACCTCAACCTTCTTCCTGTTCACTTCGGGGTCCACAGTGGATGCACTGAATGCAGTTGGTCTCTTGGCATGCTAAAACAGAATCAAGCTCTGACTGAATAATGAAAACAAAACAGATCCTAATGTATCAGCACATCTAATCACAGAGTCTACATTTTTCTAATTAACATTTGTGCTGCTCCTGCTACTATTTTGAGTTTTTTGCTCTATTGGAAGCAAAATCTTTTGTTTGTTTTATAAGCATTTATTAGTTTATATATTAACCAACTGCCAGAGGCTCATCATACAATGGTGAGTGCAGAGACACATGGCACTGTGCTAATTATCAGCCCAGGTCTAAACATCACAGAGGTTGAGCGCAACTGATTTAATACAATTCTCCTGAGCTTGATATTCAGTGAAACAATTACAGATCAATCCTGTTACATCGGATGCTTTCACAGTATAATGCATGGATGGGTAATTCATTTTCCCAAGTAACCACATGGGAAAGTGGGAGTGTTACACCAAGGTTACACCAATGTTATGATGCTTAGGCAGCAATTGTCCTTCTCTCCTGGATCACCTGGTGCTTTCTCTGGTGCCAAGCAACGGGGCTGTGACAGCCGGAATAGCTCTTTGGGTCCGGCAGCAGGTACCTACCAGGTGTAGACCGGGAAGGAAAGAGGCGATGAGCCAATCCATAAGCAGACGAAGATGTCCACTTTCCAGCTTACCACTGCGTTTCCCCCGTGAATGGTGATCCAATATTATTGATTTTACAATTTGAGTAACAAGTGCCAGAAACAGCACAAACACAAACACAAATGGCAGTGACAGACGGCAGGCCACTTTAGAGTCGCTGTGAAAATGCTTAACAACAAAAATGTAATAATTAAATGTATTACATTCAGACATGCTGCTGAACCTGCACCTGCTCAACTTCCCTGATTTATTAGACTGAACATGGTCAGAGATGCCATCACCTCTCCATCATGATTAAAGTTTTGCTTGTGTTTTCTAATCTGGTCTAAAGACCGACCTTTTCGGTTTGGCTTTTAAACCCAGTCTAGAATGTTCATTTTGATATTGATGTTCTATAATTTTACTGGTTTTTTTTACTATGTATTTTATTTATAGTACTTATATTTTATTAATCTTTTGGCTCTCTTCCACAGCATTTCTTTTATCCTGGCTTACTTCTCTTGAACCTTGAGGCTGCTGTTGTTGTGTATAAATAAAATTGAATTGAACTGAATTATGTTCAGCACTTTGGTCAGTACTCCCTGTTTTTAAAGTGCTTTATAAATAAAGTTGGCTTGGCTCAATTGCTCAATACTGGCATGTTGAATATAAATAAAATACATAAACAATAAATATGTTGAATTAAAAATGAAGAATAACAGTGATTTTAATCACAGGCCTCACTGAGAGAGCCTCTACAGAGTCTGAGTCCTGGATGTTGTTTTTCTCCTCTTGTTTTTTTGTTTTGTCGTCTTGTGATAGGAGCAGTAAATTCTAAGAATACTAAAAATATAATTTGTAGGTGGTTGAAATAAGAGATATTACTTCCTGCCATTGCAGTATTGTATCACAACACTGTAAAGGCTTGCTGGAAATACTCCACTTAGTCTGCTGACACTGTGACCCAGTTTCAGATAAACAAAAGATAAACGTTGGAGCCTAATCAGTTTCACAGCCACCCCAATTCTTGACTTATTTGACAAAAGAAAGTCACACATTCTTTCATAGACCTTTAACAAATAATATTTTTTTTAAACTTCTTGTCAATGAAAAAAAGGTCACATTTTCTGTCATGCAAGTCCATGTAAAGTCACTAAGAATATGAAAAAGTGAACAAATGTCTATTATGTAAACCACTTGAATGGATTCATAAAATAAATTTAGCATTTATTCCGCAGACAGCAATGAAGCCATACTGAATTTGTATACTAAAGTCATGAAAATATGTTTTCACAGGACCTTATGCAGAGGCATATATGTGTAAAACTGAGTACACAGGAATTTAAAGGATAAGTAACAGCCAGGTGCTGCTAATCATTTCATTAATTATTTTTGAGAAAATGTAGTCACCTCGATAGAAGCTGAATTTTTGGCATTCAGTGGTATGTTAACAAAATGTCACAATCTTCCTGAGTAACTGTAAAACATTTCTTCACAATGATGTGAGAGTCATTCAGAAAGTGATTACTGCAAGTTACTACTTGCTACTGGTTTTACACACTGTTAAATCACTGGGTATACTTGACACATTATTTTTCCCTTGACTGTATAGTATAACTATTTTTTTAATGAAAAACCACAGTCGGCATATCCTCTCTGTTTCCAACTGATCACTAAAAAGGTAGCTGTGAACTGACAAGAAAAATATTATTTTGATTCCAACAGGTATGAAAATGATTTAAAGTTCCTGCTTGAAATACAAAAATGCTTCAGACAGAGGTGAAAGACCCGATGTAAACAACATGATTTTGTTTTCTACATGTCTGGTGTTGGCTCAGTGCTGTGGTATGTTTCTTACGTAAGCAACTGGGCATTGTCATGCTTCTTGCGTGATTTTAGCTTCTGTCTCCATTGGAGGAAGGACCAAAGGGTTGCATTTGGCTCCTCGGTGATGATGCACTGATCTCTTTTAGTCCAAACCTCCAGACCAATGAGAGGCACACGGATGTTCAGAGCCCTGTAGAACTGAACATAGACACAACAGATATTATTTTTCTACATTTTTCCAAATGGCAAATAAAAAAAAACAACAACAACTATTACTAGTGACTGTCACAATATTAAAACTACTGACAGGTGAAGTCATATTAAGTACTGTATTTGTGTGTTTTCAATCACTACGGATTTAGAACATAAAAGTTATCTCAAAGTAGATAACTAATACATGACAAGGAAATATATGTGGACCCAGCAACAATAGCTTGTTGAATCAAACTGTCTGTTCTCTGGAGAACAGGAGTGAACAGCAGAAGCCCTCATCCTTACCTTATCCACATAATTAGCAATTTCCATTATCCTCGCCTTAGTCTTTTCATAATCTTGATTCTGCCGTTGAAACTGCACGATTACATAAATGAATGTTAGCCATGAGGGGAAAATGTAAAACATTTTAGAAACAATTAATCCCGACTGATACCAATTAGAGTGGGAGAGGACTTCAGTCTTCTTATTGGTAAATATATTTTATAACACTTTGCCCAACTTAGAATCTCTGAACATTGTATACACTGCTGGATCTTAGTAATGCTGATGGTGGTTTACAACTAAAATGTGTTTTTCCCTTTAATAAACATTAAGAAGAATACTGGCGAGAATACTGTCAGTATTTTTTAATGAATTGTGTTCCAGTCGCCTTAAATGTGGCAGGAGCCCAAAGTGTACTTCAATTGAGACATAGTATTTAATTACTGCGGAACAACCATTTGAAAGTCCGTCCACCTGGCAATTCAACCTAAATCTATCCCCACATTAAGCAGACAAATACTAACTCCACTTACTTTTGCCTCAGTACAACTACTAGATAAGCTTAGAATTGTCCATATAAAAGAGTCATATTATCTTGAATTACATAATTGTTTAGTATGTAACTGAGTGTCCATCCTGCTGTGTGAGTTTGATCTTAGCAGACAAATGTAGTAGTAGATTATTCCTGTAGTTGCACAGGAATAATCGGCTTGGGCATGAATAAGGCAGGTGATGAGTCATCTTACCAATGTATTATCCGCCACAATGTACAGTTCGATGTACTTAGTCGTACCCAAGGTATTCCTTTTAACCTGCCATTAAAGAGAAGAAGGAAGGAGCAACATGTTTATAAATACAGTAACATAAACTGATGGGCTAAAACACTCTCAAACAAAGATAGGAGATAGGGAATACCTAAAATGTTAAGAGACACATACTTGTCAGTCCATTAGAGTGGACGAATGTGCAGAAAAGGTGTAAAAAGGCTGTCACAGACTTGACATGAAATATTATAAATATTTAGACAGTGAACTATGGGGAAAAACACTGGATGAAGATATAACTGCTCAGCACTAAAAGAGATCCTTTAAAGCAGTAAACAAAAACAAAATATTGAATCAATCAATTGTATTTATATGATTATATTATATTATATTATATTATATGAAATAGCAACAACAGTCAACAGTTAACCCCCTATGATCAAGCAGTTGAAGGCTGCCAACTGCCCTGTTGGGGCTGACAGGAGGACGACAAAGCTAAACATAACATACACTGTGGAAGAGACCCAGAGCCCCGGCCTTATTGGGCAGTGGGGGTGTGAGGCAGGGGTGTGGTCTCTGCATTCCACATTTCTCGTATTAGTGACTCGTCTCCGTGTTCCATTTAAAGTTTTCCACAGCAAATAAAAGCTGCCTCTCTCAGTTGAACCGTTTCATTGGAGTCCTGTATTTAAGTCCTACCTCTGACTGCTACACAGCACCTCCATGGTAGCTTTAGAAATGTACAAAAAGACAACATGGTTTGACAAGAACAAAATATGATTGAATCTAAGCAAAACTAAAATCATGTTATTTGGGAATTTTCAAATTAACTCATAAGCACAGATTCACAAAGATGGTGTGGAAATAGAAAAAGATCATGAGTTTCTTGGTTTCTGGTTCATTTTTACACTGAACAAATTATGTATTAAGCAATATACAACCTTCCTGACAATATTATAAATCTGTTTTCTAAAAGGAATGTGGGATACAATTTGAGGGAAGAATTACATTTAAAATATTCCTGTTTTCCTTATGCTTTGTTTGATTGTGTTTTTTCTTTTCTTTGTTGTTGCATCACAAACAAACAAACAAACTTGACTTGCCTGCAGTGAGTCCTGGCCTTAGTCCAATGAAACATCTTTGAAATAAATTAGGTCTTATTGTGTCACACCCCTAAACCTCGTAAAAAGCTTTCCTAGAAGAACTGAATCTGTTATAGCTGCAAAGGGATGGCCAACGTTTTATTAGACCCTATGGATTAAGAATGAGATGTCACTCAAGTAATTCGTGTGTGAAGGCAGGTAAGTAAATACTTTTAGCAAGAGAACATAGACGCCAGTGGTACCTTTAGAGAAAGTGCTTTGACACAGACATGAAAGCTACAAAATAGACTGAATGGTGGTGGAGTGGTTTAGAAATTCGCTCACAGAGAGAAGGTTTCTGGTTTAAATCCTGTTTGAGGTGGCTACACATATTCTGGTTGTGCTTTCTCCCTTTTGGGGGAGTAATTCATTATTTTTCTCTGTTCCAGATCTGTCTATATAAACCTAATGTAATTTTTGACTTAATCAACCCAATTTGGTTTAGAAAAGGTGTACCACTGATTTCTGGAAGACTCACCCTTGAATGAAATGATGAGAGCAGATTAGAGAAAAGGTTGGGCTGTGTGGTGTGATGCGTGTGGTAGCAGCTTCCACCCTTAATTGGCAGCTTCATGGTACTCAACAGTGAGTGGTAGACTGGATCTACACTGCTGATTGGCTCCAGGTAGTAGGTGTCACTAGAATTCAGTGATATCAGCCCTCTGTGTAAAAGGGGGAAAAAGTGTTGCAGTTTGAATTGAAGCACAAAGATAGACAAAAAATACAGACTTGTTTTGCCTCCCATAGCAGTCTGACTGCTGAAGACCTGTGTGAGTTACAAAATGTGATCCCCAGATAACACAACCGGCAAATGCAAAGCAGGGGCAGGATTCACATTAACATGTACATCCCTGTATTAACCAATGTCATATAGGCCCAGTTTATTTTTTCATGTCACTGTTGTGATGAGACCTTAAATAGCATTTGCATTTTCTGTTGTATGCTTCCTTTGGTGTTCTTGTTATGTATAAAAATGTGTTTTTTGAAAATAGCTGATCTGCACTTTGCCAACATGTGTCAAAAAATATAGTTCAATAAAGTTGCTCTATGTAGTGTTTAACTGTTGATATGCAGCGTTATTAAATTTATTGTTTATGCAACGGTTGACATAGCACATTTGCTTTTGAGAATATTTTAGATGGCACTCATCATCAGAAAGGTTGCCGACCCCTGTTGTAGCCAAAAGGATTTTATTTGCCATATCTTCACAACAGCTGCTCATATAACAGCCACGGGAATAAGGATTAATAAACTAGTACGGCATGAAGCAGAACAAATTAGGATGAAGTATCTGTGGCTCTCTTCAGACCTCCCTCCAATCTTGCCATTTAGGAAAAGAAGGATATCACATCCCAGACTAAAGACTAAAGCATCACCATACTACCAGCAAACAAAAGGAGATGCATCATCGTTCTTAAGGCTAAGCTAATTTGACCTGCTACTAGCCTACTCAGTTAACTTGTGCTTGTAGCCAGGTAATGCATGCAAGAAGTGAAGCAGTTACATGTGAGTGAAACTTCCAGCCAACTCAGACATTAAAATACAGACATTTATCACTACATCCAATCCAAAAGATTGATATACGTTTCAAAATGATTAAACTAAGCTTATTATTAATCTTAGAACTATGGTATCTAACCAGATTCTTACTCTTGATGGCATTACCTTGGCCTCCAGTAACACTGTGAGGAACCTTGGAGTCATTTTTGACCAGGACATGTCCTTCAATGCACATATTAAACAAATATGCAGGACTACTTTCTTTCACTTGTGCAAAATCTCTAAAATTAGAAATATCCTGTCTCAGAGTGACGCTAAAAACTAGTTCATGCATTTATTAAGTCTATGTTGGACTACTGTAATTCATTATTATCAGGATTTCCTAAAAACTCCCTGAAAAGCCTTCAGTTGATGCAAAATGTTGCAGCAGGAGTACTGACAGAGGCTAGAAAAAGCAGATTTTTCCTATATTGGCTTCTCTTCATTGGCTCCCTGTTAAATCCAGAACTGAATTCAAAATCCTGCTCCTCACATACAAGGTCCTGAATAATCAGTCCCCATCTTATCTTAACCCTTTAAACCCTAACCCCTTTTTAGCAAGGGTGTCCAACTCCAGGCCTCGAGGGCCGGTGTCCTGCAGGTTTGGGTTTAAAGGGCTAATGACCTTATAGCAGCAGTCCCCAACCTTTTTTGTGCCACGGACAGATTTAACATCAGACAATATTTTCACGGACCGCCGTTTAAGGTGTCACGGATAATTACAACAAAATAAAATGATACGACCAAGACAAAAACTGTGGTATTTTGTAAATATAATAATAACCGCGAAATCACTGTGTAATTGTGTAACTCCGTTAGCAGCGTCCTCCTGAAATGCGGCAACAACATTGAGAGTAACATCCTCTTCTTGCCCTTTAATGCTCTCTGGTTGCTATGGTAACATGCAAATATTTCTTTCAAAATAAGACACACAATTACAACATGGGAAAGACCCAGGGAAACCAAGTTAACGATAAAAACCCTGAAAACCATATATTTCACACTCGAGCCTCAACTTTTGCGGCCCGGTACCAAACGACTCATGGACCGGTATCGGTCCTTGGCCCGGGGGTTGGGAACAGCTGCCTTATAGTACCAAATCACCCCATTAGGGCACTTTGGTCTCACACTGCAGGGTTACTTGTTGTTTCTAGAGTATTTAAAAGTAGAATGGGAGGGAGAGCCTCCAGTTTTCAGGCCCCTCTTCTGTGGAATCAGCTTCCACATTGGATTCAGGAGACAGACACTCTCTACTTTTAAGATTAGGCTTCAAACTTTCCTTTTTGCTAAAGCATATAATTAGGGCTGGATCAGGTGACCCTGAATCCTCCCTTAGTTATGCTCTGGCTCTTTTCCACAGCATGTCTTTATCCTGTCTTCCTTCTCTCACCCCAACGGGTCATCGCAGAAGGCAGTTTTTCTCTGTATGAGTTATTGTAGGGTCTACCTTACAATATAAAGTACCTTAAAGCAACTGTTGTTGTGATTTGGTGCTGTATAAATAAAATAATTTGAAAAATTGAAAAATAAAATTATTAGACAATCATTCACTGGACCTAGAAGAAGCATTCTGTGCAAAAGCAAAAATCTGTAATCTGCCTTTCCTCATCTCCAGTATTAAGCAGCATAACTACTTTAAAAGCCTCAACATAAACACTTCTCTGACAGCCTGGTGGGAATTCCTAAAAACAACTAAGTCTTCGCTTATTCCATGTAAACTAACACCCTTTTGGAACAATCCAGTTGTTGATCAGAAAAAGGGTATACTAAGTTTTTTATCATAGTATGAGAAAGGGATTTAAAAAATCTAGAACATGTTATACAAGATGGAAAATTCATTTCATTTGAAGAACTATCAAAACATAGACTGAGCAAATGTGACATTCTTGAATATCATCAACTGAAATCCATCATAGAAGAAACATTCAATCCTGGTCAACTGAATCAAGAAATACCTACTTGGGTAACAAAATGTTTTAAATACCTGCCCAAACGGTGATCAAAAATGCTATAAGCTATTGTTTAAAAATGACTAAATGCCCCAACTTACAACTTACACAATAATCTCTATAGAACACACTACACGGGACAAAGGTTGTTCCCAATGGGTCTTACACAATCGAACATATGCACCTATTGCAAAGACAACTCTGTTGAGAGCTATGTGCATGCTATATGGTTCTGCATGCCTGTCCAACAGTTCTTGCAGAAGATATGTGAAGACCTAACCACGTGGTTTAGTTGCTATATCTCAACCTCACTGTGCAACATAACATAGTTAACATAAGTGAACTAGATATGGAAGCAAATACATCATGTGTACTCCTTACTTCCTTATGCATCACCAAGAAAAGCCTGATGCTTATGTGTTCAATATAAAGATTTAGTTCTTGACCACATTGGTCTGGAGAAAATGTCTGTCTCCTCAAAACACCAACTGGATGAATTTATCTCTCTCTGGTTCCCACTGATCAATTCCATTACTTAGTGGGGGTGATCTGCTGTAGTCTCGTTTCCCTATTTGAATTGGAGGTGGATGGTGGTGGTCTCCTGGGCTGCAGGTGACTGGCGGTCTTCCTGAGGGCTGGAGAGCTGCAGTTGCTGTTTGGCCTGTGCATCTACCTCAGTTGGTGGTGGTGGAGGACTGGGGTGGGTGCTGCTTGACGGTCTTGAGATGTGGCCCTGGGGTGCTAGTGGTGGCCTTTGGTACTCTTGGAAGCTGCGGATAGCGTGGTTGTACTGGTTTTATCTCTGTCTGCCCCAGGTTTCTGCAGGGCATTGCTGCAGCTTCTCACCCTCATTATCAAGTAAATTTGTCACAAAGACACAGGCATTCTCACACTCACTCACTCTCTCCCTCTCACAGACACACACACACACTATAGGAATATTGTAGATTTATGTATCTCTGTATTTTTTTGTGTGCTGTACATTTGTTTTGTTTTGCTTTTTCTGTCTCTTACAGGTGCAGCAATAGGCAATACAATGTGCATTCCTATTTGTGGAATACACGATTGCTTTTGTAATTGTATCATCGGATCTATACCCATAAGTTCTGGACACAGATGAAGAAAAGAGCTGAACTGTCAGCTGATCCCAACCAGGTGGTGAGTTGGATCAGGTGGCGGATAGTATGCCAGCACGCCTAAAGGTGGAGGTTATCCCCGCTGTTATGTTTTCCCCTGTTTGTGTCATTAACTAAGCAGGAGTTATACAGAGCCAGACAGATAAACACGTTAGCTGTTTACATTCAGGCTTCTTCTTTTTATTCATTATACCTCAGGAAGATACACACACATTACATGGTGACCACTACTGGCGATAGCTTGTATAACACATATATAACACCAGTGACGTGGCACCAGATAAATGAAAAAAAGATAGATTAATGTTTGTTTATGTTCACCTAATAACACTTGATACAGTGTAACAACAATTAATCATGAGGTAGGGACAGTACCTGAATCCTGAGCATGTGCGGAGTGCAACCCAGGAATCTGGATGTTTTCTTACATGGCCATGGTAAAAGCAATGATCCTGAAAGAGAAAAGATTTAGAAACATTATCTCCATCTTTCATTAGCAAAAAAGCTCTACAAAAATACAGAATTGTTTCTTCGGTGTGATGGATTGACCTGTTGGAGATTAGATTACTTTTGTTAGAGAGACTTCTGGATGTTATTCAGGATGTCACCATAGACAAAGTTGAACAGCTCCTCCTTTCACTTGGTTGCATCTGGCTGCACAACATCAGAGAAGTCTTTTAAGTCTTCACTGTTTTGAGTTTTGAGAAGTCATTTATGCTTGTAGTTTCTATAAATATAATTTGTTTTCCTTGTGGTTATGATTTTTCCTGATTCCCATATTGTTCTATTTCTGTATTGTTCTGTATGATTGATTTTAGGTTTGTTAGTTTCCTTTAACTCAGAAAATTTGCAACCTCGCCCATTCCATTGCAACCTCGCCCATGTCCTGTATATGGACATATTACCAGTACAGTTAAGGGTACCTTTCACCAGCTTCCATCCTCACCACTGCCAGCCAGCTCCTGTCCGCAACCATCCTTCTTTCTGTCTGTTCAGGAAGGCAGGTCTCACAGCAGTGGATTAAGAGTAGCAATTCCTCACCTGAGCAAGTGTTTGCTCCCATTCTCGTAAAAAAACTGTTCTTGTAACGCCACAGTTTTCCCCAGTGTTTTCCATCAACCGGAACAGTTTTCCCTCTGGTTATGTCTGGTTTATGTTGATTTCCTTTTAATGTGTTCAATACTTTTTCTGTCATTTCCTACTATTACACATTTTTACAGATATCTATGGTTTTTTGGGGGTTTTTTTTGTATGTGTGGATGTATGGTTTTTTTTTACTTACATCTGGTGAGAATTTAATACCAATAGCACATTTGGAAAGATATATACTTAGACAATTGAAATACACACACACACACACACACTTAAATAAATACATATTGATTTATATATGTCCACAAAAATTACAGGAAGTCCTTGTCTGACTTGGACATAACTGACATTTGGCAAGTTGGGAGGGTGTGTTTTATTAATTTACATTAAACTCGGATCCAGATCATGCGAAACATTTCCTGTATTTCCTGCATCTTTTCAACAATTCAAATCACGTAACAAGGAAGTCACATCAACCAGGGCCTCGTTTGTCTTTACCAATGACTGTAGAAAACATGGACGACGCGACAGCACCTCCTCCCATTGTGCAAAAATGACTGACGACTCGTTCAGTTAAGGAAAATACAACCATGTCACTGTTATGAAAAAGACACACAGTTTAACATCTTATAGACACAGCTTTGACTAAGAACCCTCTTTTTATTCTTACTTTATGGCTTTAAAAAAATATCGAGATATATATCATATGTTGCCATCCAGTTAAAGAATATCAAGATATGATTTTTGGGTCATATCGCCCAGTCCTAATAGAGACTAGTAGTGGATTTTCAGTGTTTCCCTGTGTTTCAACAGCACAGTTGTATTTCTGACAGCATAAGAATGGCCTGCCTGGTGGAATTACTACAAAGAAGAGCTTTAGGGTGGGCCAAGAAGTGTTAAAAACTAAGCCCTGCTGACACCTCTAATTCTCGGGGACCCTTGGCTTTGTATTCACAATCCTAACCTTGACTAGTTTCACACTGGCATCTCTGGTTTGAGGACATGGCAGTGGTTTTCCATCAGGACAAGTAATCAGAATCAGAATATTTTATTAATCACCAAGGGAATTATGTGGTTACAGTTGCTCCAAGACAATATCAGGAAAAGACTGAACTAAAATAAATGATACCAATATATTACAAAGTTTACAAAATATAACAAATAGCTCAAATATATATAAATAGCTAAATAATTAATATCAAGAATATTACAGAGGTGAATATATGATTGACATTTTACTCTAAACTATAAGCTTGTTATTTTCCCTGTAGAGCATATGCAATAGGGTGTAACTACTGCACTGTGCATTAGGTGGAGGAGTTGTACAGGGTTAGAGTTAGCATTGATAGCCACAGGCAGGAATGATTTCATGTGTCATTTAGTGGTGCATTTGGGTGATCTTAGGCTACGTTCACACTGCAGGCGAAAGCGCAACAAATCCGACTTTTTTGACCCTATGTGACCCATGGTATAATAGTGATCATGGTATGACAGTGTGAACAGCACAAATCCGATATTTTCAAATCCGACCTGGGTCACTTTCGTATGTGGTACTGAATCCGATACACATCTGATGTTTTAGAAAGCGACTGCTGTTTGAATGGCCATGTCACAACTGACAGACGGCAATTATCAGCGCCCGAGAAGACATTGTGAATGCTTCCTGGCCATCCCGTGTAGATGTTAGTGAAACTGCTGGGAAGACAGCGCTGGAGAAACGTGAACATTATATTTGTACTGTATAATCTGCAGATTCTGACAGAAATCTGCAGCTATCCTTTGAAGCACCTGTTAAGTCTAATTGTTGAATGTTGCCATTGTGTTTCTTAAATTTGTATAGTCTTAGTTTAAGCAGTAGGATCAAAGCCATCTCTTTGATTCTGACCACCTCTCCAGCCACTCTGTGCTGGGGGAGGTTTTATTGTAGATACAGTGGGGCAAAAAAGTATTTAGTCAGCCACCGATTGTGCAAGTTCCACCACTTAAAATGATGACAGAGGTCAGTAATTTGCACCAGAGGTACACTTCAACTGTGAGAGACAGAATGTGAAAAAAAAATCCATGAATCCACATGGTAGGATTTGTAAAGAATTTATTCGTAAATCAGGGTGGAAAATAAGTATTTGGTCAATAACAAAAATACAACTCAATACTTTGTAACATAACCTTTGTTGGCAATAACAGAGGTCAAACGTTTACTATAGGTCTTTACCAGGTTTGCACACACAGTAGCTGGTATTTTGGCCCATTCCTCCATGCAGATCTTCTCGAGAGCAGTGATGTTTTGGGGCTGTCGCCGAGCAACACGGACTCCCGCCACAGATTTTCTATGGGGTTGAGGTCTGGAGACTGGCTAGGCCACTCCAGGACTTTCAAATGCTTCTTACGGAGCCACTCCTTTGTTGCCCGGGCGGTGTGTTTTGGATCATTGTCATGTTGGAAGACCCAGCCTCGTTTCATCTTCAAAGTTCTCACTGATGGAAGGAGGTTTTGGCTCAAAATCTCACGATACATGGCCCCATTCATTCTGTCCTTAACACGGATTAGTCGTCCTGTCCCCTTGGCAGAAAAACAGCCCCATAGCATGATGTTTCCACCCCCATGCTTCACAGTAGGTATGGTGTTCTTGGGATGCAACTCAGTATTCTTCTTCCTCCAAACACGACGAGTTGAGTTTATACCAAAAAGTTCTACTTTGGTTTCATCTGACCACATGACATTCTCCCAATCCTCTGCTGTATCATCCATGTGCTCTCTGGCAAACTTCAGACGGGCCTGGACATGCACTGGCTTCAGCAGCGGAACACGTCTGGCACTGCAGGATTTGATTCCCTGCCGTTGTGGTGTGTTACTGATGGTGACCTTTGTTACTTTGGTCCCAGCTCTCTGCAGGTCATTCACCAGGTCCCCCCGTGTGGTTCTGGGATCTTTGCTCACCGTTCTCATGATCATTTTGACCCCACGGGATGAGATCTTGCGTGGAGCCCCAGGTCGAGGGAGATTATCAGTGGTCTTGTATGTCTTCCATTTTCTGATGATTGCTCCCACAGTTGATTTTTTCACACCAAGCTGCTTGCCTATTGTAGATTCACTCTTCCCAGTCTGGTGCAGGTCTACAATACTTTTCCTGGTGTCCTTCGAAAGCTCTTTGGTCTTGGCCATGGCGGAGTTTGGAGTCTGACTGTTTGAGGCTGTGGACGGGTGTCTTTTATACAGATGATGAGTTCAAACAGGTGCCATTCATACAGGTAACGAGTGGGGGACAGAAAAGCTTCTTACAGAAGACGTTACAGGTCTGTGAGAGCCAGAGATTTTCCTTGTTTGAGGTGACCAAATACTTATTTTCCACCCTGATTTACGAATAAATTCTTTACAAATCCTACCATGTGAATTCATGGATTTTTTTTCACATTCTGTCTCTCACAGTTGAAGTGTACCTCTGGTGCGAATTACTGACCTCTGTCATCATTTTAAGTGGGGGAACTTGCACAATCGGTGGCTGACTAAATACTTTTTTGCCCCACTGTACATCCTATCTGAAAGATCTGTTTCTTTTGATGTAAGCTTCCTGGGTTTACGACCCTTTGGTCAGCAGGAGGTCTAACACACACACACACACACACACACACACACACACACACACACACACACACACACACAGTGTATACATTTACTAGAGATGGACCGATCCGATATTACGTATCAGTATCGGTCCGATACTGACCTAAATTACTGGATCGGATATCGGAGAAAAATAAAAAATGTAATCCGATCCATTAAATATCACGAAAGCACCTCGCAAAACTTGCAACACGCCGTAACTCACCTCAGAACGTTAGCAGTCGGAGCAGTATGCATCACGTGATAGAGCAGCTGTGGCATGCCGGACCTGTCGGTGGTCTGGATAGCATGTGGAGATTCGCTAGCAACCTGGCATTTCATCTCCGACAAAGTTATCCCCGAGAGAAGTAAAGCAAGTGTGTAAGTCCATCTCTGAATGTTTGTAAAGCATTCCCACGTTAAGCTTAACAAGCGACTGCCTCTCGCTCTCCGGCTGCTACTTCAATCGTGAAACTGCTTAAATGATCAGCTGATCGGCTTTTCTGTCGCGAGTCCGTGTCTCTTGTTTGTTTTTGGCCCACTTTGCACCAGAAAGAGGAAACCAGCGGCTGAACAACAGCAGAACGTTTAAGCTTGATAAGCTGTTGTTAGAATTTATTTAATATTTCTTTCTACACCAGGATCTTTTTCTACGTAGCTGACGCTGGTAACTGTGCAGGGGCGGATCTAGCAAAGTTTAGCCAGGGGGGCCGATAGGGCATGAACAGGGAAAAGGGGGCACAAAGACATACTTTTCTTT